GACGCCTTGTGCAAGAGCGCCACCAGGGAGATGAGCCCCAGAGCTCGCTAGAACACGAGCATGAGACGGCCACAGAGCCATCGACCGCTCTCTGTGGGAATCATCATCGGCCCCTTCGCTTCGCACCCATCATAACGCTTGGCGCATGCACGACGATCTGGTTCTCGACGTGCCACGTGGAAACCTCCAAGATTCGATATGTATTGTGCAGAAGAGGCGCTTGGGACAGGCCATTTCTGCTCATGCGCGTGTTTGCCCTCTTCGCCACCGTGGCACTGGCTCTGCAAGCGACAGCGATGAGCGCCTTTGACGACTCGGCGGCCCAAGCGGCCCTCGCCAACGCGGAAGCCTGGATCGGCAAGCACCTCTACACGACCGCGGACGAAGCTGCTGGCGACGCCGGCGCCATCCTCGAGTCCGACATCACGTATGAACCATTGCGCGTACGACAATCTCTAAATCCCATCTTGTTTGGGTTTCTATCATCATCTTAGATTGTGCGCAACCGCGGCTTCACGGAAGACCTCGTGTTTGGCCGCCTCAACATCAAGCTGGACGAGAACAAGGTCATCACCAGAGTCTGGATCGGCTAAGGCGATCGAGCATCACGCCCTTTAACCACCCCAACACGAAAAATTGCATTCTTTTCGTCCCCAAATTTGCACATCTGCAACGCACGTAACCCACGGGGTAGTATAAATATCGACGGCGAGTGGCCTTGGAGCGGCCATGGTCCCGGAGAAGCAATGGCGCGAGAAGGGCGAGATGATGGACAAGCGGTACGACCGTGATCGCCGTGAAGTCGGGTTCATCGGATAGCACTAGCACGGCGCGCAAAGTCCATGGCGTCGACTTTCGCAGCATGATCCATCGTCTGCGCGTGGGTCTCCTCAAGGGCTCCAACCAACACGAGGACGACGCTTCGAACGTCCCGGATGGCATCCAAGTCTACGTCCGGAAGCGGCCCATCTTGGAGCACGAGCCCAAGAAGAAGGAGTACGACGTCGTCACGTGCTTGGACGACCACCGCCTCGTCGTCCACGACTGCCAAATGTACGCGGGTGCGTCCTGCGTCCACGTAATCTTGACATTATTGACCATATATTGTGCGCAGACATGAAGCGCAAGTTTATCGAGAGCCACACGCACACGTTTTCCCACGTCTTTTCGGAAAAGACATCAACCGACGACGTGTTTGACCGAGTCGGCGCGCCGCTCGTGGACCATGCCATGGGCGGCGGCAAAGCTGTCATCATGATGTACACCTCATGGGACGCGTGATCTCGTCCACGACGGCAACTAGGTACGGCCAGACAGGGTCAGGCAAGACGCATACCATGACGGGGTTTCAAGAGGTATGACGGTTAAGACGATTATCCTGTTGCAGAGCTCAAGTGGCGTAGCACATTGCCGACCTGCTCTTTGCGACGCCGCAGGCCCCGTGGAACGTGGTGATCTCGGCGATAGAAATCGCTGGCGCCAAGTGTTACGGTACGCATCATGGCGTGACGTCGTGTCGTGATCGTGTGGCTTCGACCATGTAGATTTGCTCAAGAAGCGGCAGCGGGTCCTCGTGTGTGACGACGAAGGCGGCAGCAGCAAGCTCCTCAACATTGGCGAGCATGTAGCGACGTCGGCCGCCGACCTCTTGGCGACCGTCGAGCGTGCCCTCGCCCAGCGCGCGACCGAGAAGGTTCCGCTGCTGCAGTCGGAGGTCGCCTGCTCATGCCTGGAATCGTAGACGGCCGTCAACAGCGTCTCGTCGCGATCGCACTTTTTGTGCTTCTTGACGCTGCGGAGTGCGTCGGGCGACGTCCGTGGTGGGCAGCTCGTGCTCCTCGACCTCGCTGGGAGGTGATCGCGTCGCAGTTTTGGCTCGCGCCTCAGATCTGTGACTAGTGAGCGCAACGAAGACTCGTTTGCGCACTCGGCCGACCGGCGCAAGGAAACCATCGAGATCAACTCGAGCCACATGGCGCTTAAGCAGTGCGTACGGGCGCTGGGCGCCGAAGACGTCACTGGCTACGTGCCCTACCGCGCGTCGACGCTCACGCGGCTTCTCAAAGAGTCGCTCTGGTCCAAGGACGCGCGGGCGGCGGTCATTGCAACCATCTCGCCGATCGCAACCGGTTAGCTGAACGAACACCACAAATCTGAAGCACATGCTCTTCGCCTAGACACGGAGCACACGCTGCATACGCTGCAGTATGCCAGCCTTATGCTGGCGGAAAACCCCGAGCTCAAGCGAGACCGCGTCGATGTCACGCCTGCACCCGCCGAGGCGCCGGTCAAGGTACGTGGCGACGCGGTTAGGGTAGGGCTAGGGTTGTGTGTAGGCGGCGCTCAAGGACTGGAGTCACGACGAGGTACTAGCGTGGTTCAAAGGCATCAAGCGCGGGATGTTTGCCAAGTACGCAACCAACATTGGCTCTGCGATCGACGGCAGGACAGTGAGTCGGTTCGGTCTCCCGCGCTGGATCCAAATCTGCAACAACAACCACGTTGATGCGGACGCGATCTTCAAAGTTTTCAAGAAGGAACTGAGCCTCCAGGAGAAGCTCGAGAAGGAACGCCGCGCGCGCAACATCGTGCGGGCCAAGCAGTAGGCATTTTGTGCTGCATGCAACATATTATTTTCATGTCTTGAAGTCTTGGCTCCAAAACAAGGATAAAAAAGCAGATGAAATCACGAGCTAGCAACTATTCATTAAAAATTAAACGACCCCGATCGCAACGGTCCTAGAGTGGGCACTTGTCCCCAAGTGCGGGTGTGCAGCCGAGACCCGGTATCAGACTCAGCAGCGCTACAACAAACACAAACGCAACCGAGACGCCGCCGAGAAGAAGCGACGTTTGTCCCCACCGCCGGCGCGTGCCACCAAACTTGCGAATGACCTGCGCACTCACTTTTTGATTGGGCAGCCAGCAGAGACTGAGAACCGCGGCAAAGCCCCAGAGCGCGTTCAAGCTCGCGAGTTCGCCGTACGCCGACTGCGTTGCGTCGGTTGTAAAATTGAGCGTCGGCGCCAAGCGTGCCACGTAAGGGGTCTCCAAGAGGCTAAAAAGCATTGTGGCGAGCGGGATCGGCGCGAGCTGCGCCGTGACGAGGAGGCTCCCGATCGTGGCTTCGTACATTGGCTCGGTCACTTCGACGATCGGGAAGAGACTGAGCATGTACCGGATGCCCATGGGAAACTGCACGAGGAGCGGGAGCAGATACCACACGACCGGTCCGCGGCTCGTGTCGTAGGCCAAGAACGATGCTTGGACCGCGCAGAGCATGGACGTGAGCAGTGTGCAGTAGAAGAACGCGACGCGCCAATTCCACGTCGCGAGTGGGGACCGGCAGAGCAGCATCGGCAGTGCAAAGCAGAGGAGGCCGCCCGACACCATGAGGCCTTGCGTAAACACCAGCGACTTTGTGAACGCGGGTTCGTCCGACATGGCCGACGTATTTTGCATGAGAAACTGCGTCTCGAACGCCAGATCGAGGTCGTGCCGCTTCCAGAACGACCCAGAGCCCGACCCAATGTGGCTCAAGAGCGAGAACGCGAGCTCAAACCACAAAATGTGCACGATCGACTTCTTCTTGAGGAGGCCAAAGAGGTCGTTGGCGCGTGATGCCCATGGCAGTGACGGCGGCGCCGGCTCTTCGACGAGCCGCGTCCACACAAACGGAATGGGCGCGAGTGCGGTGAGCGCCAGCGTAAACAGCAGCGCTTGGTACCCCGTGCTCTCGACCGTCCACGGCGCCGACTGGCAATAGCGAAAGATGGCCACGTAGAATTGCCCAGCGGCCGTGAGCGCAAATTTGATGCCGGTCGCGAGCGCTTGGAGGTTGCCACGTTTGGAGAGTCGCTCACGCTGCGCAAACTCGACGAGGCGGGCGTCGCCAGCGACGTCAGCGACCGTGACGCCGATCGTGGCCACGACGAGCGGTGGCACGAGGTTGGCACTCGCCATGGCTAGAAGCCCCGCGATAAGGAGCCCGAGCGCTGCAATGGTCCAGCCAGCGACCATGTACGATTTGCGGCGGTAGCTCAAGAACGGGTAGCAGTCGGACGCGAGGCCAATTACTACGCGCAGCGATGCTGGAAAGAGCGTCATGGCGACAGACGCATTAAAGATCGGGTACAAGGGCGTCATGAGCGAGAGCACGGGCAGCTGCGAGTAGTCAGAATGAGAGGGCGAGGCAAGGTACAAGGAGGGTAGTGCGCCATAGAGGAAGCCGACGGCCACGAGACTCGCGTACAAGCCAAAACACGCTTTCGACACGAGCTTGATTGGGTCGCCGTCGTGGGACCGCAGCGCGCCGCCGTCGCGCTCAAAGTGTATCCGACTGACCGTGTCGTACGTCTGCCAGAGGTTTTCGGGCTGCACGACGACGCCCGACTGCTGTTGCGCCGCGGGGCTCCGCAGCATGTCTTGTTCGGCTTCAAAGACAAGACGCATCTCCTTCGGCATACGCCGCCGCCGGTCGCGACCGACCATCGTCTGCAGCTGCAGCGTGTCAAAGATGTTGTCGAGCGGGTGGTGGCTCGACGCGTCGTCGTCGTCGTCCGTGGCCACGGACCGCCCCGGCTGCGCGCGGTTGCCGCCAATGTGGCGCGCAGTCTGCATGTCCATATAGATGGGCAGCGGCGATGGCTCGCTCTCATCCTCCATGATCGGGATCACCGACGGCTTCTTCTGGAAGAGGCCGGTCGTCTTGAGCATCCGCATCGGCGCCGGACGCTACGATTTCGTCGGTGGCGAAAATACAGTGTGTAACTCGGCAGCGCCGGTCGTCCGGATAAACAGCGAGCAATTCAGACTGCCGCGCCCGTGGCCAATCGGCGGCGAGTGTATCCGGATGCGCCAATGTTTAGCATTTTTTCACGCACGTTCTTTTCGACTTTGTATAGCGAGACAACCATTGTGCATTGTATTACGCAAGCCGCGGAAAAGCCGGGAACCTTGGCGCACCAACGGACTCGAGTCCGACGGACCGAAGGCGTCGCAAGGGCAAGCGCAGCACAGTCGGTGCACCGTTGATGGCGTGTACATACGAAAGCCGCCAAACGATAGAGAAGACAGCTGGGTCTCAGGAAGCCTGAATTCTCAGCCCAGTGCCGATCCACGCATGGACTCGAGCATCTTCAACTCGCCTGTAGACGCCACCCTCGGTGCTCAGTGCAAACATCTTGTGGCGTCCATTATCGCCGTTCATCTAGATGCAGCAACTATAACGCTGTGTGCCGTTGCTACGGGGTGTATACTGCAGTTGTCGTTGACCGGTGACCTGGCATCAAGCGCATCCTCTGCATGGCGTCGCGACGTGAATGCCTTGGACCGATCAGCTCGTCAAGGTTGGAGGGGGATGGACGCTGAATTCTTGCAGTCGCCAGGAAAAAGTGATCGAAACAAGCGCGCCACGACCACCCGTCCGATGCGCGAGTGGTGCATTGTCGGAGCATTGCACGCCGCCTTTGGACGCAACAAAGGCGGAGCCAGAAATATGCGGTCGACCGGCTCGATCCAACGACTTCTCGTTGCACAAAACGACCACCTACGGACGTACCCGTCCGTGTCAAAGCAGCGCAAGCCCGGTTCACTTCGTGTTTAAGGCGGCGATGTATGCTGCAGGCGTTGCCGTTAATCAAGAGAGCACAGGTTGGTTCGAAACGCGTTCGCGTTGAAATCATTACAAGCTGACTCAAAGTTGCCGTTTTATTCGATTAAATATGGATCGTAGTACAATGGGGTGGAGGTGCATGCAAAGCTCTAGTGCCAAACGTTGTTGGACCACAAGACCTGAGCCTCCTTGCTGTCGCTGGCCAGCATGACGTGGTCGAGCTCGACGGGGCTGATCCAGTCGAGGGCGGACGGCGCCGAAAGCACTTGCAGACAAATGTCCCAGTCCGTAGGACTCAGAGTTGCATCCATGTCGTCGGTCTCGCTCAGCGGGTCACCCATACTCGTGGACCACTCGGGGCTTCGAAGCTCCGCTTGGTTGTCATTCTCGCTTATTACATCACTGCGGCTCGGTGTTACGGCGTCGCGCGTGAATTGCGGGTGGCTGAACGTGCACACGCATGCTTGCGTCTTGGTCCACTTGCGGAAGCCAAAGTAGTTGAGCTGACGCTGGAAGCTAGCGAGCTTGTTGTGTTTAAAGTACTTGGGAAGGACCTCGGCTTCGAGGCGCCGGACGTTGTAGAGCTTGATCGAGAGGCCGTCGAGCGACCAGGCAATGATGGCCGGGTCTTCGTCCGTGAGAATGTGGTAGAGATGCCGAAGGAACTTGGGCACACGCTTCGTCGCGTCAAAAAGCTCGTGATGCTGTGGCATTGTGTTGGAAAATGAATGACTCAAGACCCAAGCCGCGCCGATCTTCTTTGAATGTTCCGACGCCCACGTGGTGGCAGAAGCGGGGCTGCGACGATACACGGCGTGAAACCGCCGCCTCGCGCCATTTTTCAAATTTGATTGGATCTTTATCCGGATCGCGTGTCCCGCACTGGCATGTGGCTCGGAATTTCGAACACGAGCGCACGTCAAGGGCGTTGCATAAGACGCGGTGGGACGAGGTGGCATTGAAAAAATCAAAAAGCACGTGTCGCGCCAGAGACTTTGTGCAGGGGTTTGCAGCAGGGCGGTCTCTACAAGCTATGAAATCCATGTAAACGGTCGCGGCAAACTCCGTGACTGAACAAAGCGCCAACGTTTCGCCCCACTTGCAGTGCTCAGTCCGTAGATAACACGTCAGTTGGTTACCTCTTGCCTCTGCTAGAATACCGAGTACACGGTGGGAAAGGAACGACCAAGCTCCAAGCTCGATGTTGAAGAACTCGGGCGCCACATCAAGGTCCACATTCTTGTGTGATGTGGACATATGTGTGATTGAAAAAGGCAGTTAGATGAGCTGCGATGTGCCACCTAGCGAGTGTCAAGTACAGTAGACCATCATAGGCATCACTCGACCATCATGTCGCTTGACGATTCGAACACCAAAACAAGATTCCATACCGTCCCAGTATTTTGCGATGATAAAGACAAAAGGTGATTCCGTCGAAAATCTTAGTCGCTCAGGTCCGCATAATCGGCCTTGCCGTCGCCGTAGCGATATTCGATGGGGTGACCATACGCGTACCCGTCCGAGATCCACGTCCAAAATGTCTTGTGGCAGTTGGAGCATGTGTATTCGCCGCCGCGCGCAACCGAGTCTTCGTCAATGAAGCAGTCATCCGAGCACCAATGGTCGCAGAAGCAACACTTGACGCAACCTTCGTGCGCCGCGAATTCTGCTGCGTGAGCCGCGTCGGCCTCTTCCTTGGCTACGCGGGCCAGGTATACTGGTGACGACGTGCCACCGTGGTAGCTGCCTCCAATTTTGCCAAAGTCGTCGCGGTCTTCTTCGCTGAGCTCTTTCAAAGCCTTCTTGAAGTTGGACGCAAACGGCTTGGACTCGGTCAAGCCAAACTCGGCGAGGAGGCGCTTCTTGATCGTCAACGGTCCGAGAAGCTGCGTTGCCACCGACACGATGTAGACAATGCGCTCCTTTACGGTCTTGGCCTTGGCTTTGCGAGCTGCGTCTTGGTTGGCTGCGGCTTTCTTGGCCGGCGGCGCATCGGCACTTGCCGTAGATTTCCGTTTCGGGGGCATCGTAAAATGCGTCACACAAAGCGTGATGAGCTATTTTTACCATCATTCACGCGGTTAACGACCCTCATTCACATAGTTCAAGCCCATTGCACCACAAAAGTGCCAGTCATTCGGCTTCACGAGTGCCTCTGCAACAATAATTAAGTACCAAGGTACGCGTGCTTGTGCTCGTTTGCATCACACCTGTGCTCGCTTGTGCCAGTACAGTTTTGCCAAACTCAGTTTGCACCTGACGCGCATTATCCGGATGTACTCAACCGGCATGTCCTTTCTTGGCCAATCACGCCATGAGCACGACGACGTACTACACGTTCGCCGCGTTCCTCGGGCCCGATGTCGCGGCCACGTATCTTGAGCTGCCGCCGCTGGAGCAGATCGCCCACTTTGAAGCGTACCTTGCGTACTTGACAGCGCAGGAGGTGCACTTTCCGACCTCCAAGCGCGCCACCAAGTGCCACGCCGAGCTGCGTGCACTGCCACGCGACGACCTGCCGCTGCTGCCGACGCTGCTGGACGGTGCGACCATCAGCGGCTTTGGCGTCTGCGGCTCTCCGGACGGTTTTCTCGCGCAGCAGTCACTAAGCCTCGGCGCTGCCTACTTGGCGACCGAGGTCCAGCACGCCTACGTGGTGGAAAACCCGACGGTTCTCAACAGTCGCAGCTTCATGTTTGGCTGGTGCCACGCCGAGAAGCAAAAGCTCGTCGACCTCCACGAGAAGCTCAAAGATGCAGCCGATGCGCGCGTGTACTGGCGGCACGTGTCGATCGTCGTCGACCGCGCCATGTGCCCTGACTGCATCGGCTTTGTCTCGGCGTATGCCAAGTACTTTGACGTCGACGTATACGTCAAGGACCCTGCGTGCGAGCGCGAGTTCCAAGCCTCGGGCGATATCTGTAACGTGCTTACATAACCAAACCAGTGTTTACACCGGTATCTCATAATCTTGTCCTCCATGCCTGCATGACCGATCGCTCAACCCACGGCTCGACCCCCAATGTGCCCAACGAAGACATGCTCCCACGAGTCATTGACGATCTTCGTAATCTTTCGCGTTGAAAAGCCTCTCAAAAAGAATACTCGCCACTTCAAGAGTGCAACTCGTTGGTCACGGAGGTGGAGGATGCTTATCGTTCCGAATGCGCAGTCGACAGCGTCGCCAACGCTTTCACTGGTTCCAGGCGCCACAACACTGCGACGATGCGCTCGCGTCTCTGTTGCAACCGACTCGAATGGCATTTGAGTGGTGATCCGCGCAGTTATCATTGCGCGCGACAACCGTCGACACCCTGTCTACCGCACCTGTAATGGGTGTCACCTCAACCCCATGAGCAAAGCACCTGGGTGCTTCGCGTCCAGTCGTGTCGCCAAACTGTCTGTCCGCACGTCGACTTGCCCAAACCCAAGCGCCCAAGCTGCAGCTCCAAGCCGCTGCCGCCTGCCATGACGCACGCGAATCGGTGGAAATAAACTATCTGCTATTGATAATCGAGCCATCTTATTCCTTGCTAAAGGCGCGTTCCTGCGCCTTGTCGGCGAGCGTTTGCCAGTTGGACTTGTACAGGATGGCCGTCCCGATGAGCATCGCGCACGTGTAGCCCATCGTCATGCCGACCCAGAGACCCGGGAGGCCCATCTCAAAGTGAAACTCAAAGAGGTACCCCATCGGCAGGCCAAAGCAAATGTACGACACAAAGTTGATGACAGCGCCGTAGTTTTGGAGACCGCAGCCGCGGAGCGCGCCTTGGATCGCAGAGTTGAGCGCGTTCACGAGCTGGAAGCCGGCGACAACGACCGCGACCTGCGCCGCGAGAGCGAGCATCGCGTCGTCCTGCGTAAAGAAGCGCGGGTACACAAAGCGGAAGGCGTAGACGCAAATGCCCGTGGCGATCGAGACGACGCCGCCGAGCGCAGTTGCCGTGAGGGCAGAGACCTGCGCGCGCTTGGGCTGGTTGGCCCCGAGCGCGTTCCCGACGCGAATGTTGCCCGCGACCGCGATACCAAGGTAAAACATGTTGACGGTCGCCGTGATGTTGACAAGGACAGCGTTGGCGCCAATGGCCACCATCGCGTTCGGGAGGAGGCCCGAGAGGAGCGCAATGATCTCAAAGCTCCACCACTCAAAGATCATCATGAGCATGCCGGCGAGGCCAAAAAAGATAAATTCGGGAATGCCGCGGCACGCCGACTCGATCTGCCAGCCGGGCCAGAACGCGAGGTTCTTGGCCTGGGAAAAGTACGGCACGAGCGAGAGCGGGAGCGCCATGTTGCCGAGCGTCCGGCTCACGGCCGCGCCCATGTAGCCCATGTCGGTGTGGTTCACGAGGAGGTAGCCCGCGACGAGGTTGACCACGTTGCAAATGATGGCCGAGTAGAGCATCGGCCACGTCACGTTCTGGCACTGCAGTACCTTCTTGAGGAGCTCGTACGCGTACAGAAAGGGCAGGCCAAGGGCCATGACGCGCGAGAACGACCCCGCGAGCTCGGCCACGTCTTCGGGCTGCTGCAAGAAGATCAAAATGTCGGCGCTGAAGAAATTGGCCAAAAAGACGGGCAGAAAGGCCGCGAGAAGCACAATGCTGCCCGTCTGGAGGTAGAGGCCAATGTGCTTGACGTTGCCAGCGCCGTACGCCTGCGCGCAGAGCGTGTCCATGGCAGTAGCAAGACCAATGCCGACCGAGAGGCCCGTCAAGTTCAGATACATGACGCTGAGCGCAGCCGCGTCGACATACTTCTTGGTATCGTCCGCCGCCATTTGGCCCACAAGCACAAGGCTTGTGAGGCCCGGCGTGAGCTCGAGCACGTACGTCATGACCTAAGGACAAGCGGGATGATGAGCACAGCACATGCCCCATTAGCCAAGCACATACCACGGGCGACGCAAGCTGGTACACGTGGCGGACTTCATCACGGAGCACAGCGCGAAAGTTGGGGCTCTGGACGAGCGAAGGCGTCTTGGGCAGGAGCGCAGTCGTCTCTTCTTGGACCCGCATGGTGGCTCGAGGTCAAATTGGAGTGTGACGGTTTTTGCGGCAACCTTCAACTAGGATTGAAAACCTCTGGAACTCGATATCAACTTTCAATCGCTGCATTCTGACTGGAGGTTGAAGATCGTGCCTTTCAAAGATCCCACAGCCAAAGAAAACGTACCACAGTCCTCGCCCAATCAAAACGCCGACCACAGTGCACTCCCTCTGAAACCACATACCTCGACGGAGACGATAGATTTGCTGCGCCAATGTCAACCCTCTTCAGATGTAAAAAACCTCTAAAACATCATACTCTTGTTCGTGCTGCACGCTGCTGGCCCGCGCCAAATCGAGCGAAAGGCGCAGGAAGAGATTGCGTCCTTCCACGACGTGATAGAAGGCGACTGCGGTTGCGTAGTCATATACAAATGCTTCGATTCTCTTGTTGTCGACAGAAGCTTTTGGCTAGTTTGGCCGTTGGTTCGAATTTGGGTCCCGGACCAGCTTGGCTGCAAACGGGACAAACGACAAAGATACCCGTCGAGCCGAAGGTGCATCGCCAGAAGGTGGCGCAGCCACACCCTCTGCGTCTTGGAGAGGTACTGTCGTCATGATCTCCTCGCCAATGTCGTCGTCCTGGTTGTCGCAGCGCTGCCAGCCCGCGGCGAGACTTGGGTTGCCTAGTCGGCACGACGAGATTCGAATCAGATGCAATCGAAATCGTTCCAGCTCACCGTCGTCACCGTCGTCGAGGGATAGAGTAGCCAAAAGCACGGAGGGCGGCGCATGCTGTGCGAGCGGGCGTGCCGAGGCACTTCGCGACAGGCGGCGGCGCGCGTACTTGGCCACGACCGCGTGGCATTCTGGCAGCGAGGGCAAGCTCGGCTTTCGCGGGTTGCAGTCTACGTGGTGGACCACAGGCTCGACCTCGCTTGCAACTTCTTGAGGCGCCTCCGCCACAACGCTGCCCTTGGTCATCAAGTCTGAGAAGATCTGCGTGACGTGTCATAAGGCTGACGACGTGAGAGACAGTGTACATTACCTTGTCTTCTTCGGCAGCAACGGAATCGGGCTGCAAAAGAAGCGGCGCCGCGATCGCATCGGCGCCATTGAGGAAGAAGGAGCTTAGCGCTTGCCGCACCTGCACGCATATGTGTAGTTAATTGACGGGTAGGCCGCCCGTCAACACACCATTTCCAGCTCGTTGGACAAAAAGGTGTTGCGCAGCGCCTCGTACTTGGCAAACACGCGAAACACGGTGCGGGTGCATGAGTCGAGGCGCGCGTGCGCTGCGGTGTGCATCGCCGACGGCTTGGCGCCGCGTGCGTAGCTATCGCACTCGAGCTTGGCTTGTGCGCGGGCCTTGATGTCTTTCTAGAGCGCATTGAGTTTCACTTTCAGCGCATCTTGGCGTCGCACGGTCTGCGCCTCGAGCTCGGCAAGCTTGATGCCAAGCGACCGAATGGCGCCCGTGATCGTGTCGTCCTATGTATATCAGTTGAGAAGTGGTCAAAATGAAACTCAAGGCGAGGACCACAGAGTAGTACTGCGTCTTCATCATCCGTGACGGCGCGACCTGGCGCAGCGCCGTGGCCAACGCCTCGGGGTGCGTCGGTGGCACTTGCCCCAGGTGGCTCGGCGTTGCAAGGCACACGACCTCGTTGGCGAGTGCTGTCGTCGCGCTGCAGAAGAGCTGGAGGCTGCAGCGATACCGTTCGAGCTCCCGCAGCGTCGCGCGGACGTGCGTCACCAAGTCTTGAAACTTGAGCAGCTCCTGCTGGTACACACTGTCGTCGGTCGGCGTCGTCTAGTATACCATAAGCTCGACGTCATCCCAAAGAGATCTTACTTTTCCAATGGCCTGGAGAACTTCCTGCGTGATGATACGCTTCTTGCGCCAGAAGGACTGCGTGAGCTTCGTCTCCATCCCGCGTCGTCGTCGTCACTCGAGAATTTGGTCGGAAGAAAGAAAGACGACTACGTATATTTAGCCAAGCGAGAAAGGACTAATTATATCCGCGATCACTGCAGCAGACCAGCGTTCGTTGTACGGCGACAAAGGGCGGCAGCTCGCCATCACTTGCCTCGTCCAAGGCTATCTAGTGAGCACCATTGGGGTGTTGGACTCGATTGAAGCGATCGCTCAAGAGCCTCTTTTGCTCCCGGAGCCAACGTGTCGAATGCCACAGTCATCTCGCGCTGGTGTTCGCATGCGAGGAAGGATTCCCAGGGATGGCTTGCCGCGGATGCCGAATGTTGGTGATCACCACTCTGTATTCTAACACGCTAAATTGTGTTAGGATATTATAATAACTAAGCGCCAATGTAACCTTGAAACTTGTATGTGCTGGCATTGTGTTTCAGAATTATAAGTGCATAAAGATCCGGCAACTCGCCTTGCCACAAGACAAAGCGACGACACGCGATGAACCCGCCGCCTCCGCCGTACACCAACGTCCCGCCGCCTGCGTACACGTACACTTCGGCGAGCATGCACATCCAGACCCAAGTGACCATGTCCGCGGCCTCCGCGCCGTCGGTACCTCGGCGAAGCTCTCCTGGCGAGTGAGGCTGACACGGCCCGTAGGGTCCGCCGGCCAAGGTCGGCGAGATCAAGCTATGGGATACGCCCAAGGAACGACGCATGTACGAAGACCTCTCGGACCTCTATGCAATCATCAAGGTACGCGGCCTCCGCGTCTGTGTGCATGTGCTCATTGATGGGCAGACCACGGAGCATCTCGAGACAGCGTATGTCCGTGACGCCATTTCGCCCGACGCGGTTTGCCTCTCTTGTGTCTTGCCCATGTCATCTCTGCATACATAGTACACAGAAGCATGCACAAAGCTCATTTCGCAGTACAAGACGACCGAAACCGCGCTGCGCAACGCGGGGCACCTCGTCTCCATCGACTCGTTCTTGACACATTATCGCCTCGACTGCCCGCGCGCGATTGAGCGCCTTGTGCGCCTCGGCGTGCCCGCGACCGTTGTGCACAACACGACGAGCAGTAGTTCCGACACGGTCAACGTCGCTCAAACGGTACCAGCCAACGCCATGCCCTTTCTGAACGTGCAAATGCGTAGGTGCAACACTGCATCACGCTGTCCGACTACCTCAAGCTCAACGTGCGCGCTGTGGACGAGATCCAGCCGCTATTGAGCGAGTGCATGTCGAGTCTCTCCAAGGTCAATGGCCTTCCGCCAACGTTCGAGGGCCGGCTCAAGCTAGAGCAATGGCTCCGCGTCCTCAACGCCATGCGTGCGTCGGACGAGCTCGACGACGACCAGATCCGTCAAATGAGCTTTGACCTCGAGCGCGCCTACACGGGCTTCATGGCCTTCCTCAACAACCCCAAGCAATAGAATAACAGCAAATTCACGTGTTTAGGGTTTCAAGTTAAGGATAGAAGAATGATTTACAAGGGCGGGGTCGGGCTCGCCGAGCGCAGAGACCAGCGCCGGAGACGGTCGTTCATGCTGCATGGGCCGTGCACACCAAGGTGCGCCATTTCGGCCATGAGCCGGTCACTCTCGTCTTGCATCGCTTCAACTTCGTCGAGCATGCGTTGCAGGGCGGGCGTAAGAAGCTTTCGGCCGCCAAATGCGCGAGGCTTAGCACAGCTCACAGCGCGGTACTTGGTCGTCGGTGACGAGGCAGCTACTGAAACGAGCTTCCGTTTCAGCGCCACGGTCGGGGGGCGGGGCGGACGGATGATGGGCGTGGAGGCAAGGGGGACAGGGGACGGGACATACGGTGGCGCGACGTCAAACAACTCTATGTCCGATAGGTCGTCCTCGGTGTCGTCTTCGTCGTCTTCGACTGCGACGGTCGATGCAATCGAGTGCCGCAGATCGTCGTCGCACTCCGAGTCGCACTCCGAGTCGAGCGTCGACTGCATCGAGTACGACCGGCGGCCAACATCGACGACCTCGTCGTCCGAGTCCAATAGACGCTCGGTTTGCTTCAATGTCCACGCAGGCGACGTCGGGTTCTGAACGACGACGATCTCGCGCATGTCGAGCGCGAGCTTGGACGTGCCATCGAGCTGGCGGGCAGAGGCGATGGCCGAAAGACCGAGGCAGCTCAGAGCGAGCCCGGTCAGCGCCAGCGCGTCGGGGCTGTAGATGCAGAGCCACGCACTTGAGAGAAAGAGAAGGACGCAAATGGGCAGAGCGCACTGCCGCCATGGGTCGCTCGCATCGCGGTGGACATCGCTCACACCGTCGTAGACGATCGTGGCGGCGACGGCCGGTGGCGGGCGCCAGGCGTTTCGCGAAGATCGTCGCTGGGTACACGCGACGCCTTTCAGCGTCGCATGTGATGCCGCTGCAAGAGAGGCCTTCATGACGTCGAGGCAACGGCGGGAGCGAGGAGTCGCAAGCGCCGGCCTTCCTTGTTGACGCCAACAAAAAAAGTGTGTCACCATCGCAACGTACCTGTTTTTTCGTGGCCGAAATCGCACTTTTAATGCGTTTGCATACAAACCTTAAGTCGACATTGCCAGTCGGAATAAAAATAACGCGTGGCTACCCCGACTCAAAGTTGCTTTTGAGCCGCGCCATCTGGCTCGTAAGTCACGGCGTCGGAGCTGCCGTCGCCCAGAGGCGCGGCGCAAGCGCGTGGCTGCGTCGTTGACACGTATCGTCCTCCAGGTCGACGCACTGCAGCGAAGCGCCTCGCTCCGCAGCGCTCCGCAGCGCACCCGCGCGGTGTCGCGCTACCATGCACGACGTCGTCTGGTCGGAACTGGGTGTGGCTACTTCAAGGTTCAAAGCAGCCGCCGCGACAGGAAGATGCATGAATAAAGGCTCACATCACCAAATTGGTGGCTGCTGGCCATCACGCACGCACGGTCAATGTCTGGAACCTGCACGGACGGACCGAGCCCGCATCGTCGTGGGTGTACGAGTACCAGGCAGTAGAGGTAGTAGAGGCGACCGGTGCCGCTCGACCATGCAGGCTCGCATCGAGCCATCGCGACGACCTGTTGGCGACTGGGAGCGAGATGTGAAATACATAAGTGACGACGACGTTGTTGCCAGCACCGACACACGCGATTCGAACCCGACGCAGCTCCAAGATAGCGCGTCTCGAAAGCAAGGGGGCCATACACTTCTCAATGGCTGGCCACCGGCAAACAGTGAGCGGCAGCCGTGCATGCTTGTGAAATGCATCATCTCGAATGATGGAGACGAGCAGCTGATGACCCGTGCTCTTGTCCGAGCTGCGTGGCTTCTAAACAGACTGGCACCAGCTGCGCGTATCGCCAACACGCACACTAGGAGGCCTCTGTGAGTGAGGAGGCCTTATCTGCTGCGCTTTGCCAAAGCCAAGTGCAACCTCGCGCAAGGTTGCAGCGGATCATCCGGATACGTTGGTCGCAACCGGTTGGCAATTGGCGTGTTTGGGGCAGCCGACGAGACGATGGGCATCGTGCGCTGCGTCTTCTGCCAGAGGGACAAGCGGATCTCGGGGGTCGGGGAGACCGACGTCCGCGACATGCGCTTCTGCTGCCAGCCCTCGTGCTTCAAGGCCTACCACAGCCGCGGCAACTTCGTGGACCTCCGCCACCGCGAACTCGTGGCACCGCATGTGATCATGGCCGACATGGCCAAGGAGCGCCGAGAAGCCTTGGGCATCGACGAGCCGCGTGCGCCGTCGACCGCGCCCATTATGGCGCCGCCGGTGGTGACTGCGCCGGCGACGGCCTACGTGCCTATCGCGCCCGAGCCCCAGTATGCAGTCGATGCGTCCGGTCGTGTTATTGGGCGAAATCGTCATGTTGTCGACGAGCCATTCATCTCGGGCGGCCCCATGTACCAGTCGCGCCACTTGTCTTCGATGGGTGACTTTGCCAAGCGCGATGGTCCGCCGACCAACGCCCCGCCGCCGCTCTGGAAGCAGCGGACATACGTCGCATCCCTGGACCGGTTTCGACGCAGCCTCGAGACCGACGACGAGCATGTGTTGCGCATCGACTTGACGCCAGCGTACTCAAGCAAGCCTCATGGCCGTGTGGAGGACGCCGAGATGGACTGTCTCCTGCGGTAACATGCGTTTGTCTCGCTATGTTCGCGTCTCACGCTTCACGTCTAGCTGCCTCGAAGGGACGTCGTCGCTCACGGTCCTCAAAGGCCTCGTGTCAGGTCTCAACATTGAGCTCTGGACCGTCATCAACTTTCTCGACAGGTAATGAGAAATGCCCATCATCGGTATCGCTCCTACGCGGCTCGTAGCTGCTCCCCGAACCTCCACTGGTCGTTCTCGCACTTCAAGCTCTACAAGTCGACGGAGCTTCCGCCGAAAGGGTCGACGTCCCCACTGTACTACGCCGGCGACATTCAGCTCTCGATCGTCGAGTTTCGCAAGTACATCATTGCGACGCAGCGCGCGCCGCCCTCCGTGGTCCACGTTGTCGACGTCAACAACAAGTCGTGGTCCATTGGCCTCCACGAAGTGCTTGCGCTCAGTGGCCTCAACCTCGACCTGTTCTGCGGCGAGGTATGTGTGCATCGTTTTGCTTGTTTTTGCTTTGAGCTTACATTTTGTGGGCTTAGATGGCGTCGGATCTGAGTCGGCAGTTTGCGTGGCCCAACATTTTGCCGGGTGGCGCAGACTGCTATCTGCAGAACCTCCCGGCGTCGTATCGCCACGAACGCTTCGCTCCGCGCATGTACTGCAGCTTTGCGGGCCACCGGTCTGCGCTCTTCCAGGCGGGCAACGGCTCGACCGACATTGCGTACCAAGTGCTCCACGGCGAGCTCGAGCTCATTGTGTTTGATCAATACCCGCCGTCCGCGTGCCTCCGCCTCCTCGACTTCCTCGACCGGATGGGCTACCAGCCCCATCGGCGCGCCGAGATGCTCGACAAGTACCTCGACAACCTCCAGTACGTCGGCCCTATCGCTCTTATATTGATAAGATTGCGAGTAGTAAGTTGGGGTACACCTCGCGCAAGGTGCGGCTGCAGCCCGGCGAGTACCTCCACATCAACCGCGTATGGGATGCACGCGCCGCATGGAGTGGCTGACACCGACTCGGCGCGTAGGGTCGACTGCACATGTGGCGCAGCGTCCACGATCCGGACACGGCCCAGCGCGGCTTCTCGATGTTTCTGAGTTGGGAGTGGGCGTACCAAGGCGTCACGGGTGGCGGCATCGCCGACTCGATCGCGGTGCGTACTGCTCTGTCTCTAAATGCATAGAACTCGATCGCGGTGTAGTACTCGCTGCAACGCCTCCAGCGACCCAGCACCGAGGCGCGGCCCATGTCGTACGTGTGGGACCCGCGGCCGTGCGTCCTCGAAGCGGTCCGGCGTCTCGTCGCTGCCGTGCGGTCAGGCCGCCGGTCGCCTGCGACCATGTTGCGACTTGCGTCGCTGCGCAGTGCCTTCAAAGCAATCCTCCAAGAGGAGCAACGCATGCAGAGCGACGGCGACGATTCGTGGTTTGTCCACGAACGTCACAGCGACAGCCACGTCACGCACAATGTCGACCTCCACGCCCGCCCCGACCAGCTCCTCTGCACCCTCTGCCGGTACCCCGCTCTCGGTGCAAGCATGCCGACGACATATCGTTGTTGTAGGATGGAGCTTGGCAACAGCTACAAGCAGTGCCTCGGGTGCATGATTTTGGCCAAAACGCCGGCGAGCGGCGTGCCACTCCCGCCGTTCAAGCTCTGCATGAGCTGCTTTGTCGCGGACGCCGACCACCACGTGACGTTCGAGCACCACAACGGCCTCCGGTCGGGCTTTGGCCACACGGGCGCGCTTCTGCACTCGAAGCAGTACCGCACCAACCCGCATGCGGTCGAGTGCAACTGCAATGGCGGTAGCAAGCTCTGTCCGGTCTGCGACGGCTGCGACGCGTGCGCGTGCATTTGCCACACGATGTTTCAGACGCGGTACCGCGCGTTGCGACCAGGTAACGCGGAGCCAACTTTGATGCGATGTGACGACTCATACTATGGCCGTGTAGACGAGCTTGTGCAGCTCTACGGCGCCGTCTCGACCCTTCTGCAAGCCAACACGAGCACGCTCCCGATGAGCACGGTAGCGCGGCTCAACTAAGTGATCCGTGGATGATCTTTTTGCATTTGCTATATGCGAGTGTTGCGTCGTGGGCCGGGCGGTGGGGACGCCACATCCCTTCTCCTTCGCATGGACACGCGTCGTTGCACATCGTCCTACTCCTGTGTCAAGAGTCAGAAGGTGGCGCTACTTCCTGCAATGTCTAAGAACTGATTTGAGATGGCCGTGACGTGGCGGCACGAGGACGCGTTGGTACATGTAGATAGAACCAGAAACCTGCAGGATTATTATACTGGGTCCGCACCGCTGCACCGCTCTTTGCGATAGCTGCAAAGACCCGACGTGGGTTGATGGCAGTTGCCCACGTTGGTGGTGGACGGGCGATAGAAACGCCGTACCACTAATTTCGAACTTCGATGGATTCCGCGTTCTGCCTCCTGATGCGCAGTCGCCATGTCGAGTAGCAAGCACCTCCAGCGCAACAACGCGGTGCTCAACCTCGCCGCCCTCGCACCGACGGTCGAGCCGCTGACCAAGCAACCGGATTGCATGGACTTTGACATTTGGCGGCAAGTGCTCGAGTCGCCCGAGATGCATCCGGTGTCCAGCGCCGTCCCGATTCTTCGCATGCCGACGACGTCCCGCATGCGGCACGAGTCGGCGATGGAGAAGCTCCAGCGCCAGTTTGTCGACGCGTCGTGCCCACGCAGCTCGACCGTCTAATGCTCTTTATCTTCTTATTTAATACAAAGTCCGCGCTGTTTTTTAAATCTTAGATATGCACCTCACGCGACCGAGAGCTTGATCTTTTCGACCTTGTCACTGAGGTCGTTCAGAATCGCTTTGGCGTCTGCGATGAGCTGCGTCTCGGCGGTCAAGACGTCGTGAACCATGCGCTCCTTCTCGTCCGAGAACGAGCGCGGTGCTGTCGACGTCGTCGGCTTGGCCGTCCGCAGCAGCTTTTCGGCGTCCATGTTCATTTGCACCACTTGCGGCGTGAGCCGGCGCACTTGCGTCTGCATCTCGACAAGGTCCTCCTTGTACTTGATCTCGGCCTTGGTCACTACGATTTGGTTGTCGCGAATGGCTTGGAGCGCGGCGGCCGCGCGCGCATTGAGCCGCATCTGCGTCGCTTGCACGTGCTTGACGCGGTCCGAGAGCGCGATCGTCGACGCTTCGAGCGCCGCAATGTGCTTCTGGAGCGCCGCCATCGACGACGCCTGCTTCGTCGCCATCTCTTTGTGCAGACTCAGCCGGTTGGACGCGAGCAGCTGGAGTTCTTGGAGGTACGCGACCTCGTCATTGAGCTGCCGGACATGGTCCAAGGTGAACTGGACCGTCGCCATGGTCGCATGCGACAGCGGCGTCGCACCGGCCACGTGCGCTGTCGTCGTCGACGGGCGCTTGGATTGAGTGGCGTCGACAAGATCACGCAGCGGCACCAGCGACGCGGTGGGCGTTGGCGGCGACCGCAGCTTGGTGGCGGCGACGCTGGGTACGACCGCGGCGCTGACGTTGACGATCTCAAACGCCCCCGAGACGAGCTGGACCACAATCAAGTGACCGAGTTCGACCGTGTGGAGAACCGACGCGCCAATCGCATGCGACGACGCGAGTGCGTTGGGTGACACGGAAAACACGCGACGCACCGCGCTCGTCACAGGGCCCGTGAGGGGCTCCCGCATCCAGTGGGCGTGGATGACGTGGACGCCTAGCCATACAACGTAAGATGCCAAACCAACATATGGATCGATCATCTACTGGTGGAATGCACGACGTAGACAAAGTAGGGCAAATGGGCCTTGGCGGTGAGCTCCGCCTTGCCGCCGTTCGCGTCGGTCCCGAGATCGAGGCACTCGACCACGTACAGCGGCGATGGCGGCGGCGGCGACACGTGGCTTGATTGCCACAGTGGCCGCGCTTCTTTCGCCAGCAGCACCTATCAGCATCCATTCCGAGGTTGATAATTCGATACAATCGAGAAAGATACGTACGATTTCCACATGGCCCGACGAATACGCGACCGCGAGCACTGGGTGCTGGCCAATGTTGTTGTCCGTCAGAGGGTACGGGACCGCACGCAGCGAGCGCGCGGCCGCGTCGGACGGCTTTGGCCACGACGACCCCGCGCGCGTGAACGGACCTTGGAGCTGAAGCGGCCACGTGTGCGGGCGGAGGCCGGACGTGGTGCTGATGCGTGTCGTGGGCACAAGTGGTGCCGGACGGGGTTCGTCTTCCTCGTCATGGAGCGGAGCGCTAAACTTGCTAACCGCCGGGCGCGGTGCCGCCGTCGGCCAGAGCTCGTCGAGCCAGTGGCGTTGCGCCTTGAGCACGACGATGGCTTCCTGGGAGGATGCAGTCGCGAGAAGCGCCTCGGTCTTTTGCTTGAGAAAGACGAGAAGCGACGTGGCGACCGCTGCTTTCATCGACGGCACGAACGGGTTGAGGGCGTAGACGTCGCCGTTGGAGCGAAGGATGTACACGGTAAACGCTTCCCACCCCGTGGACGGGCCAAACGCAATCGCGGTCGAGTGCACTGCGGAGGACGTCGTTGGTGCGCTTTCGAGCGCATGGACTTGGTCGGTCGTGTCATCTTGGACGTCCACAAGCCGAAGGTCTTCGATGGTCGTTAGGATAGCGACATGCGCGTCGCTCAGCGGATGCCAGAGCGCGTGCCGGCTGCGGACGTTGGGTGGCAGCGACACGCGCTGGAGGTCGATGTCGAAGACGTCTTGGCAGACAGTCTTGACGTTCGCTCGCTCGTCGCATGTGAGTGCGTCCATAGCGCGCTGCAAGGTATCCACGCCCTGTTTCTTGGAGAGCGTCACGGCGCGGCTCGTACCGTCCTTGAACTTGACGAGGACGCGCTCGCCTGTCGACGGCGCGTTGCGAGCGCCGAACGGGAGCTCAAAGGTATACAAGTCGCTTCCTGGCGTTGCATTGCTAGCCGACGCCTCAACGAGGATGCGCGTGCCAGACGGGTTGAAGGACAAGCCAGTGGCCGTCGCCAGGGTCAATGCCATCGCCGGCGTCGTCGTCAGATCGTGCAAGATGGGCGCCGCATGTTGCATGTTGACGTAGCAAAGGCGACCTTTCGCACCCAGCACTACGATGGAGCCCGTCGCTTCGTGCGCGCACATGAGGTTGACATGGATCTCGGGCAGCACGTTGGCCAGCACCGCCGGCGCGATCGAGCTTGCCAAGCCGAGGACGGACTTGAGACCGCCGCTGGCAGGGGCTGCGGCCTTGGCCTCTTTGGCAACGCTCGCGGCCGGCGCCGGAGCTGCCTTCGTGGCAGGGCCTTTGGACATGCTGAAGAGCGGAGGCGCCATGGACGTCGGGGCCGCGGCCTTTGTCTTTCCTCCAGTGCTCCACATTTTGCGTTGTGAACGATTCATAAATAAAACAGCCCATTCGAGTCCGTTATGCTTGCTATTTGTATGTTACATTTAACTTGCGGAATATTAATTTCAGGATATAAAAGGTTAGCACCAATCAAAACCGACCATCGTATCTACGAAGTTCGCATTTGAACTTCGAATGTCAACTGCGACGAGCGGGGCCGTGGCGACGTCGACGCGGCCGCGTGTCCTTGTGGCTGCGTCCGGCAGCGTCGCGACGATCAAGGTGCCGGAACTGGTCGTGAAGCTTGCAGAATATGCAGAGGTGCTGGGCCCTTTGCGTGAAACGAAGGCTAACGCGGCGAATCATGGCAGGTGCAAGTGGTGCTGACCAAGTCGGCCGACTTTTTTCTCCCCAAGGCCGCTGCGTACAACCCAACGATGTTTGCGGCGTTCGAAGCACTTGGCGTCACGATCCACCGCGACGAAGATGAGTGGAACGCGTGGAACGTCATTGGTGACCCCATTCTTCACATCCAAGTGCGAGCTTTCTCCCCGCTTCACTCGTGTGGAGACACCTCTGCCATGTAGTTGCGGGACTGGGCGGATGTGTGTGTTGTCGCGCCACTCTCGGCCAACTCAATGGCGAAGCTCGCGAACGGCCTCTGCGACAACCTCTTGGTCTTTTAGTCTCGCTCAATGCCAACAGCGGCTCACCAATTCCCGGTAGTCGTGCGTCGTGCGGGCGTGGTCGCAGTCCAAGCCGCTACTTGTGGCGCCGGCCATGAACACACAAATGTGGACACACCCATGCACCGCCAAACACGTCCAGATTCTCCAAGACGACTTTGGCTATCGTGTGATCCCGCCCGTGAGCAAGATGCTGGCGTGCGGCGAGACAGGTCGGCGCACTAGATCTTATTGCAGCTCACAAATCTCGTAGGCAATGGCGCGCTCGCGGCAATCGATGACATTGTAACCCATGTGCGTCGCACGATCTAGCTCATCCCAAAACTACACGGTCTATTCTTCGACGAGTTCGTCTAAGTTATCTTCCACGTCCTGCATATACAGACTCTGGTCCATGGAGGCAGAGGCCGCGTCGGGCGCCGGCCGCTTCTCCTCGTCCTCGTAATCTTCGACTTCGTACTCGTCGCCCGCAGCGCCGTCGTCGTCCTGGAAGAGCGTCGGGTCGAATGTGAAGAGGGCACGACCACTGAGCGTGTTGAGGCCACGGTTGCCCGACTTCTTGGCTTCGTCCTTGCGGCGCTTCTCGTCCTCGACGAGCTTGCGCTTGGCCTTCTCGGTCTTCCACTTGGCAAACGACTCGGCCGTGACGGGCGTGCCGCCGTTCGCGCCGAGCTTGGCGCGCTGCTGCTCAATGATCTCTTCGATGCTGACCTCATCGCCCTTCTTCTTGCTGTTCTCGCGGTCCTTCTTGGACTGGTAAACAAAACCCGGCGGGAGCGCGTGGCGGTACTTGCACGACTTGCCGCCGTTCGGGCACGTCCAGAACCAACCGTACTGGGACTTTTCGATCGCGTCCAAGAAGAACTTGCACACAATGTCGGTGGTCGTCGCCACCTTCTGGCCGTGCTTCTCGGCGACGACATCTTCGAGCTTCTTCTGGTCCCACGTGTCCATGATATCTAATTAGGCGTACCATGAGCACAAGCGTTCGTCGATGGTTTAATGTCATCATACCCGCGTCCTTGGCATCGCGATCGTCTTCGTAGAGGTTGATCTTGGTGGCCTTCTTGCCGACCATGAGGTCGTGCGAGAACTTGCAGCGGTTGCCCTTCGCGCACGTCGCTTGCTTGAAGAACTCGCACACGATCGTCTTGGGATCGACACCGAGCGGAACCTACGGCGCCGTTAGCATCAATGCATCTCTTGTTGGCGGCCCACCTTGGGCTGCACGATGGCGGCCATGAAGAGGTCCTTCATCTGCTTTTCAATGGCCTCCTTGGCCGCGGCCGCAGCCTTCTTGTCATCCAGCTTCTTGCGCTCCTGGGCCTCGGACGTGCCCTTGACCTGGTGCTGCACCTGCTGCACGTACTTCTGGACCTGCTTGGACTTGTTCTTGTTCTTGAGGCCGAACGTCTTGTCCTCGAGCATCTGCTCCTTCTTCTTCTCCACCGTCTTCTTGGACACTTGGTTCTTCTTCGGCGGCATCTTGGTCGTCTACCTCGGGTCTCGCTGCGTTCTCCTCTCTTGGCAATTAATTATGGCCACCGACGCATCGGTATCCGAACGTCCGGATAAAACGATGGGTGTCAATCGCCGCGACTTGAAGTGGCCGATCCCAGGTACTTGCAGACGGCCATGGCCGACGCCAAAGGATATCAGCGCGCCACTACAAGCGTACAATGGCTGGCGCAAATACGCAGTCCGGATGCTAGGCACTGAAGAGGCCATCTCGCCGATGCATTTTCTAATAGACAACATGGACACGATGGGCGGTGGTGCGATGTAGTACTATCTTGCAGTTAGATGATTACTGACACGATAATCGATCGCTCCATCAGTTATGTTTGTGGGCCAGAGCCTGGACGCTTAAGCTTAGAACCAGCCGCACCCGAACGGCGAGAAGAGGCCGCATCCGCCACCAAGACCCCAGCCGAAGCCAATGCCACCGCCGCAGATCGACCCAAAGCACTCCTTCTGTTCGCCTTCGCGGAGCTGTTGCGGTTGCTTGAGGCTTGTCTGGGTGTCCACTTTCGCTGCAACGCCCATCGCTGGCGCGTCGACGGCAACCGCGGTGGCACTGCTGCTGGCGATGAGCGCTGCAAAGATGACAATGGCGTTGACCATGGTGATGAAGTGGCAAAAACAAGACTGCGATAGGTTAAATGCTCGGAGCTGAAGGCACGTCGCAATCTGTCATGTCGTTGATCATCGCGATATTTCCATCACGTGATGGATGGCGTGACTTGGCGACACAAAAATCGATATATTTAGAGTTTTAGGTGGCGAACGGCGACGCAGCTTGGCGTGTTGGACTCTACAAAATGGTATCGAGGCACCTGCCAAGTTTGAGCGCTTTCATTTTCCAACGCGATTTGGTCATCGGCGCGTCTCGGCGAGCGCTTGCGCTGCGAGGGATCGAATTGGATTGGCTAAAACTTTAATGCTTTTTAGCGAATCAAATTGCGATCATTTTCGAGGTAATGACAGAGCGAGAGTGGAGCCAATATTTGAGAACACTCAAAAGGACGTGAACACCAGACGATCGTGAATGCCTTTATTCATATTGTAGTTTTATAGCTGTGTATATCACGCTTCAATAGTCATTGCTGCGTTTCTGGAAGAAATCGGCCAAGTAGGCGCGGACGTCGGTCGGACGATCTTGGATCACAGCGCCGATCGCGAGCGACATGACGTCTCGGACTTTGCGGTCAAAGTAAAACTGCGTTTGCAGTTGCTACAGACATGTCGTCACCAACTCAACACTATTGTCGTCGTCGTACCGAACGCTTGAACTTCATGAGGTCGATTTCACCGCCCACCATAAAGTCGGCCAGGTACGACGCGACTTGCTCCGGCTTGTGCTGCACAATGGCCTCTAGGGCGTCCGCAAAGATTGGGTCCGTCGTCTTGACCATATAGTCGTAGTCGTTCTCCAAATCATGCTGGAGAAACGTCTCGTTAGCCTTGTGGCGCGTTTGAACTACAATTGCATAGACGCATGCTCGACCCTTTTCATCATACCTTTGGTCACGATCGCTCGCTTCGTTGTAATGAGCAAGTCTTTGGCGTCTCGTCCTGCGGTCGTCATCGCAAACTCCAAATGCCCAGTGCGTTGCTGCGTGCTATGTAAATTTGTAATTTTAGGTCCGAAACCCATCACGAATCTCCCAAGGAGGTCTTCGAGCAGGGCTACCGTTCGTATATAATGCTGCGCAGTGTCGCGATATTGCCTGTATGTTGACAGACATATTGTACTTCCATTGTCGTGCGCGGAATATGCTTGCTGACGTGGCACGCTCCGGCACGGTGCAGCGTGCTCGTTTGTGATTCGCCGAGCCGATTTTATACCGGATAACGGAATCGTATCCGTAGAGCGGGCAATTTTTGCCGGTGGAACTTTAGCTTTCGCGACGAGCGCGAGCGGCTGGGCATCCCCATGGCGTCGTCGATCGGGAACACGGCCATCAAGCGCATCCGAGCGGTAGGTGCATGGCGGTGGCAAGACGCTCAGTGAATGGCCGTCTAGGACGTCCGTGAAATGATGACGGACCCAAGCGACCAGTACTTTGCGGCGCCGCTCGAGGTACGACGCGCAGGTCGGGCGCACGAAGCTGACGTCGCCCTAGAACAACATGTTTGATTGGCACTTTACGATTCGTGGGCCGCGCGACACGGCATTTGAAGGCGGTATCTTCCACGGGCGCATCCTTCTGCCGTCCGAGTACCCGTTCAAGCCGCCGAACATCATCCTCTTGACGGTAGCCAACGTACATGCATTTTGGAGATGCATGGTCGATGTAGCCCAATGGTCGCTTTGAAGTCAAGAAGAAGATTTGCTTGAGCATCTCTGCGTACCACCCGGAACACTGGCAGCCAGCATGGGGCGGTACGTCCTATAGAACCGCGTTAGCTCATGATGCTCAGGAGACGATGTTGTCTAGTTCGCCTCATCTTGGAGGCGCTCATTAGCTTCATGCCGACGAAAGGCGAAGGTGCGATCGGCGCCCTCGACTTTACAGCGGACGAGCGCAAGACGCTTGCTGCCGAGGTCCGCACCAGCTCATTTTTGGTTTCCATTGCTGACATGCGTCCACCTAGTCGGTACACTGGTCCTGCCCGCAGTGTGGCAGCATCAAAGACTTGATCCCAGAAGAGACGGCGCGGGACACACCGCCCGTTGAGTCAAAGTACGCATCCCAGATCGCGCAGCTTCATATCCACAACATGGAGGGCGGCACGCCGTCCTCGTCGTCAGACGAAGCAAAGGAAGAAGAGACCGCGTCGTCTTCGCTGGATACCGCTCCTGCATGCGAGAGCCAAGATGTCGTGGCGAGCGAAACCGTGCCCGTCGCAGCACCAACGCCGGCCCCTGCGCCGGTTGCCGCCACGGTGGATCCGACACCCATGGCGCGCACACCAGCTTCAGCACCGGCTCCCGCCCCGACCGCTGCAGCGCCTGCGCCGACCGCTCCAGCGCCGCGGCCAGCACCAACCGACGTCGTCGACAACATTCTCCAAGGCATTGGCACGGCACTCGTGGTCGCCTTCCTTGCGCTGTTGTACAAGAAGCTGCTGCAATTGAACGGCTCGATCGAGTAGAAGCGAACGCCAACATGACCACATTTTGTATGCACCAGTCTGTTGGTCAACTCTATCGCAGGGTACATGTAGTCGCGCAACCGCCGCCAAAGCACTATACTGTACATATACACTTGCAGCTACGACAGTGGCGAACCATGATGGCGCACCACGGTCCTGCGTCCGTGCGAGGGTGAGCTCGAGCACTGGTCCTTGGCTGTCCAGCGGCATTCTTGGGGGATTTTGCGTGGGCCTACGTACCGGTAGAGAGGTCCACGCTAGAGGTCTACTAGTTTGCTTATGTACATCGTTGGATCCTGACACATCGGCCGACGGCAAGGTCGAGTGTCCACCGGCTGCTTTCGAAGGCGCTTTTGGGTACCAAACGGCAATTTGGACATCTCGACGCTGCGAAGGATTGCCCCTAACGTTAGCAGCTCTTTGGCTCTTTCTTTACCAAGTCCCTATACGAGAAGGATACATCGTACTTGGGCTCTGAGCATTAGTCTCTCGCATGACCAAATGCGCCAAATCAGGATGCGTCCAGACGCGTGCCAGATCACGGGACACGCGCACGGCATGTGGTATGCAACACCGCCTGCAACCTGATACCGCCGCGCACCCGCCTCTCGCGCCTGCTTGAAGGCTAAAGTCCTCTCTGTGACCCACACGCGTATTACCTCATTAGCCATTTTTCCGACAGCCTTGACGAGGCCAAAGGGCACCTTGGGACATGCCCGACTCGTCGCAGGCTAGCCTCGTCTATTCTAGTAGAAGAGCTCATGTTGAATCTGCTACATGAGTGGAATTCCCGAGGAGCTGGCTATGCGACGTAGCGTCTGGGGGATCACGTTCTTCCGAGGCCTTCGGCCTGCTGCCCCTTGTGCGAGCCAACGCTGTCGTGCCAGCTGGGCCGGTGGCGCCACCCCAACTTCAAACGCTACTTCAAGGAAACCCCTGCAATTTTAGCCAATCAGAAACGACAGCGTCATAACCCCTGGTTATGGCACTTTGGAATTCGCTCCATTTCCGCCAGACCAGCATGCAACGCATCGCCCGCGCCGTGACGCCCGCGCTCCGCAAGACCGCCGCAGGTGGCATCGCCATGCGCGCCATGAGCTCGTCGACGCACCTGCCGCTGACGTACCTCTCGGAGGAGGAAGAGATGTTCAAGGACGCGGTCGCCAAGTTCGCCGCCGACGTGTGCTTGCCCAAGGCCGCCAAGATGGACGCCGAGGGCGAGATGGACGACGAAGTCACGAGTGGCCTCTTCGAGAACGGGGTAGACGATGCCACGCCTCGCGCGCAAGTGAGCTCATGGACATGTAGCTGCTCGGCATTGAGATCCCGGAAGAGTACGGCGGGTCGGGCGCGTCCTTCATGAACGTCTGCTTGACGATCGAAGCGCTCTCGCGTGTCGACCCGGTCGTCGGCCTTCTTTGCGACTTGCAGAACACGGTCGTCAACAACGTCTTTGTCGTACGTCCAACTCATATATGCGCGCAAGCTCGACTGACCCGCGATGCATGCAGAACTTTGGCACGGAGGAGCAAAAGCAAAAGTACCTGCCGCGCCTCTGCTCCAACATGGTATGCGCTCTCATCGGTGCTTCGACCGCTGATTTTGTCGATGCAGATTGGCAGCTTTTGCTTGTCGGAAGCGGGCTCGGGCAGTGACGCGTTTGCGCTCAAAACGCGCGCGGACAAGTCGGCCGACGGCAGCTACTACACATTGACGGGTCAGAAAATGTGGATCTCCAACGCCGAGTACGCGGGCGTGTACCTCGTCTTTGCCAACATCGACGCGAGCCTCGGCTACAAGGGGATCACGTGCTTCATCGTCGACCGCGACATGGAGGGCCTCGAAATTGGCAAGCCCGAGGACAAGCTCGGTATCCGCGCGTCGTCGACGTGCCCCGTCTTCCTGAACGGCGTCAAGGTCCCGTCGAGCCAGATCCTTGGCGAGGTAAACCTTTTGCTTCGTTTCGGACGTATCGTATGATGCAAACTGTAGGTTGGGAAGGGATACAAGATTGCGATCAGCACGCTCAACGAAGGCCGCATCGGCATTGCGTCGCAGATGCTTGGCCTGGCGCAGGGCGTGTACGACCAGACGATGCCGTACCTCTTTGACCGCCACCAGTTTGGGTCGGCGATCGGCGACTTCCAGGCCATGCAGCACCAGTACGCCGAGTGCGCGCTCGACATTGAGACTACGCGCCTCCTTGTGTACAACGCCGCTCGCATGAAGGACGCGGGTGCGCCGTTCGTCAAGAACGCGGCGATGGCCAAGCTCCACGCGTCGCGCGTGGCCGAGCGCACGGCCTCCAAGTGCATTGAGCTCCTCGGCGGCGTCGGCTTTACCAAGCACCTCATGGTCGAAAAGTTCTTCCGGGACTCCAAGATTGGCTCGATCTACGAAGGCACGAGCAACATGCAGCTCTCGACGATCGCCAAGATCGTCAAGGAAGAGTACAAGATGTAAGACGTCGTTCGACGAGGCGCGTCCGAAACGAAAGCTGCGTGATGTGTGAACCCGCCTTGTCCTCTTGCCGCAGTCTTGGTCGTTTGGACGGTCGGCCTGTCTTGCGAATGAGTTTGGGTGTCATGAAACCCAAGTTGCGATTACGCTATTACAAGTACGACGTCCCATCCTAGGAGCCTTGGTTCACCGCTGCACGTCGCATGGGTGCTGATGCTGATGTTGCCGCATCTTGAGTACTTGGTCCACGTGGCATGCGACCAAGGCAGCGTCTTCATCGCGTTCGTCTGCCGTGGATTGTACCTGGATTCCATCGGGCCAAAGATCAAGACCACGTGCCCAACTTCAAGCCGCGTCGTCCGGATACGTGTCCGGATTTGGGGGCCGGTCCGGCCTGACACGTGGTCGCGCCGCGATTGGCCAATGGCGTGGTCGTACGTACCTCTATCAATTGATATTGCATGTATCTATAGAGGTGTATCTGGCTCCGCGGATCCCATTTGCCATATATCTTGTTGGGTAGCATGCACGACGCCATGGAGTTTGGCTTCCAGGCGCCGCCGCTCTCGGGCAACCACGCGTCCGCGTACGCCAAGCAGGTCGACTTGAACACGCCGGCGATCGCCATCTCGGTGCTCGGCCTCCTCTTCTTCGCCTTCGTCAGCACCTTCCGGCCGCTCGTGCTCGTGCTCACGTTTTGCGGCTACGGCGTGCTCTTCTCCATCTACCTCTGCAACTGGGTCTTGGCGAAAGACGATGGTACGCCCGAGATGCGCGAGGTCTCGACGCCGATCCGCGAAGGCGCCGAAGGCTTCTTGCGCATCCAGTACTCGGCCATCTCGCGCATTGCGATCGGCTTGGCGCTCTTGATCTTCTTTAGCTACGCGCTGCGCACGACGAGCGCGCACGCCACCGGCGTCGAAGTGCTTGGCAACTACATGCTGGGCGTCCTTGGCGCACTCTCGTTCCTTCTCGGTGCCGTGTGCTCGGCTGGGGCCGGCTACATTAGCATGTACGTTAGCTTCTTCCGGTCGTAGCATGTATCTCATGATGCGTCGCAGGTGGGTCTCGGCGCAGTCCAACATTCGCGTCACGAGCGCGGCGCGCCGGTCGTACGGCGAGGCGTTGCTCATCTGCTTTCGCGGCGGTGCGTTCTCGGCGGTCCTCGACATTACGCTCTGCGTCGCCGGCGTCAGCATCCTTTACGCCGTCTTGTACATGATGTTTGGGTCAACCGTCGCGGCCACGGACATCCCTATGCTCATGGTCGGGTATGGCTTTGGCGCGTCGTTCGTCGCGCTCTTCATGCAGCTCGGCGGTGGCATCTACACCAAGGCCGCTGATGTCGGCGCGGATCTCGTTGGCAAGGTCTGTACCAACCCTCTCATCTTCATTTTTCACATGTATGTGCATGTAGGTCGAAGTGGGCATTCCGGAAGACGACCCGCGCAACCCAGCCGTGATTGCCGACCTCGTCGGGGACATGGTTGGCGACTGCGTCGGGAGCAGCGCCGACGTCTTTGAGAGCGTCGCCGCCGAGATCATTGGCGCCATGATCCTCGGCGGGTCGCTCGCCAAGGATGCGCACTCGTCGCTCGCCATCTCCTTTGTCTTCTTCCCCATCGTCGTCCACGCCTTTGACATTGTCGTCAGCAGCATCGGCATCCTCTGCGTCACGGCGCCCGGCCCGCACGAGACGAACCCGATGACGACGCTCCAGCGCGGCTACACGGTGACGCTTGGCTTGGCGCTCGTGGCATTTGCGATCTCGACGCGCTGGCTGCTGCACACGGAGGCCGCGCCGAGCGCGTGGTTCCACTTCTTCCTCTGCGGCCTCGTCGGCATGGTGACTGCCTTTGTGTTTGTCAAGTCGACGCAATACTACACCGACTACGCGTACGAGCCCGTGCGCAGCATTGCGCGGGCGAGTACGACGGGCCATGGCACCAACATCATCACGGGCGTCGCGGTCGGCATGAAGTCGACCGTGATCCCAACGCTCATGGTCAGTGTCTCGGTCATTGCTGCCTACCACCTCGGCGCGTCGTCCGGCATTGGCGGCCCCAACAACCGAACGGGCGGGCTCTTTGGCACGGCGGTGGCGACCATGGGCATGCTCTCGTCCGCGGTGTTTGTCCTCGCGATGAACAACTATGGCCCGATCGCAGATAACGCGGGTGGCATCGCTGAGATGAGCGGCCAGCCCGACTACGTGCGAGACGCGACCGACAAGCTCGACGCCGCCGGCAACGTCACGAAGGCCATCACGAAAGGGTATGTCACGCTGACAGGACTTGGGATGCGATGACAAAGGATATATGGTGTAGGTACTCGATCGGGTCGGCGGCCCTTGCGTGCTTTGTGCTCTTTGGTGCCTTTATGGACGAGTTCTCGGCGTTTGCTGGCGTACCCTTCAAGACTGTCGACATTGCGACCGTCGAAGTCCTTGTCGGCGGCCTCCTCGGCACCATGATGGTCTTCTTCTTTACGGGTCTCGCGGTCGCGGCCGTCGGCGACACGGCAGGCGAGGTCGTGCTTGAAGTCCGGCGGCAGTTTGCGCTCTACCCCGGCATCATGGAGTACAAGCAAAAGCCCGACTACCGGACGTGCGTCGCGCTCGTGACAAAGGCGGCACTCAAGCAGATGCGCCTCCCAGGCCTCCTCGCCGTGCTCATGCCCGTCGCCGTCGGTCTCGTCTTCCGCGTCGTACGCGCGTTGCTGCATTTTTCAGAGTCTTATGCGTGATGAGGGTAGGTCGGGGCATACCAAAACAAGCCGCTGCTTGGCGCCGAAGTCCTCGCGGGGTACCTCATGTTTGGCACGGTCACGGGCATCATGATGGCGCTCTTCCTCGACAACGTCGGTGGCGCGTGGGACAATGCGAAAAAGTACGTCGAGCTTGGCCACCATGGCGGGAAGGGCTCGGAGGCCCACAAGGCTGCGGTGACGGGCGACACGGTCGGTGATCCGTTCAAGGACACGGCGGGGCCCGCGCTGCACGTCGTCATCAAGCTTCTCTCGACGACGGTCCTCGTGCTCGGCCCGCTCTTCGTGACACGTGTGGCTGCGTAAGAACGACCCTTTTCTGTCTTGTTTGTGACACCTGACAGCCCATACACCACGTACAAGGATATGTTAGGAGCAGAGTTGAATGTCAAAGGGAAAGACCGCGTTGGACAGCGTATGGAGCGACGCCCGACGTAAGACGCTCGCGTTGGACCAGTAGCACCAATCTGTTGGGGGCGCTACGGGCTCGTGCCTGGCCAAGTGCGTCTGGAAGCTGTCGCGCACCGACGGCAGACTGCTGCGCACGTCGCCAGCAGGTGGTCGCTGGAGGACGCGGAGGACGTCATGGGCGCCGCTGACCGTGTTCCAGTAGATGAAGAGTGCGAGCCGCGTCCGTGGCAGCGCTACGTCAAGCACGCAGGCCATGTAGCAGCTGCCTAACGCGATCAAAGGCGTCTAAAATCACAGTGAATAGGGTTCTTGAGCTTTAGCCATACGTCCATGAAGTACCTTGTCAAGGAGAGCAACCGCATAGTCGAGAAGTAGGCGCGGTGCGAGGGCGGGGACGCTGTCGAGCCATGTGCGCAAGAACGTCTCAATGTCGAACGTCCATTGATAGACCGCCTGCGCGTGGCTGCATGAGGAGGACGAGAGGAGGAGGATGCAGTAGGTGCTACCTGAACGCCCAGCGTACGAGACGCTTTTGGAAACGACGTGGGCTCAATCAGCACGACCATGTCGAGCGCGTACTCGGAGGGCGCATACCACGGGGCCATCGTCGGTGTGGGCGCTTCGGCGCCGTTGTGCGCGAGCCCCACCACGACGAGGGTCGACCCGAGGTGCAACAGCAGCTGGTTGCAGCCGCCTCCGAGGAAGGTCCACGCGTACTTTGGAGCATGGGGCGTTGCCAATCGAAGGCGGAGACTCGAGACGGCCCGGAGCGTCGGCGACGACGCCTGCAGCGGCGCCGGTGTGAGCGTCAGGAACCACGGCGCGTTGGGATGCGGCGAGCACGCGATCGCGACGACGATCTGCTCGCAAAGACTCTGCCACACGTGCAGCTCGCGGTCGTCGAGCGAGAGCCCGGCTGCGTTGGGTAGCTCGGCAGTCGCAGCAAGCGGTGCCCATGGCCCGACGCTCGTGCGCACGGCGATGGCCACGGGCACGACGCTTTCGTCCGACGGTTCAAAGGCGCGCCAGAAGAGGCGTAGCTCCTGGCCCCAGTACGCGTAATACACTACACAGACGACTCGTTGACGTGTGCAGAGAAGGAAGCGAGTAGTACGCAAGAAGAGCCCGTCGCTGCTAAAGCCCAAGACCACCGCCTGCTCCTCGAGAAGCGCGACGTCGCGCAGTGCCCACGCCCTTCGCGCCAGCGGTCGCAGCCCCCGCGGCCCGCCGGACCTCTCGCGGGCAAGGAGCTGATGAACGACGTTGGTCCGAGGACGACGTCGGGGATGATCGGCGCCGGCCGGCGTCCGTTCGCGAAGGTAGCTCTCCATCTACGTCGTGAAAACCAGTAGCAAATATGCATTTCACCGCCGACATATCTTGTGCGAGGTAGAAGGTGGGACCAGACTTATTGAGGCGCCCACCCACAGAGCATGCACCAGGAAGTGTTAATCTTAGTTGGTGTGCGCAGCAGTAGAGGGCCCACCCCACGACCCCGTCGTGGCTTTGTCGGGCGGACGCAGCATGCTTCCACCGTCCCTACTGTTGGCAGAGGTCGTCGTCACATGGACATGTGCAGCTCAAGTTGAGCAGCACGACGCAGGTTGCATGGATACTGCAGCTGCCGGCTGCCAACGACGACGGTCCGTTGCTTTCTCCAAACTGTACGACTCTTCCTTCTTCGACTGTGGTGGCCGCACGCGGTTCGCTTTGGTCTAGCGTATACATCCTACTAGGTACGAGAGTGCGACTCGAGGACTACAGCCCGTGAGCTCAGCCCGTGCTGCGAGTGTGGAGCCACGACGCCAGCGACTTGAAGTTGGCGACGGTGTCGCTTTGAATATAAAGTTATAGAGGTAACCTCTCTGCCTGGTGCTGTTGCATCAACACAGTTTTGTATTTTCCGCACAAAGCAGAATATGCTGGCGTCCATGTTGCGCAGTCGGCGCATGCTGAGTTCGCTCGCCAAAGTGACGCCGCTCGAAGCGCAAGAGGCCATCGAGCTCACGTGGTCGGACGGCTTCTCGGCCAAGTTCCACAAGATCTGGCTCCGCGACCATTGCACGTGTCCGCAGTGCCAGCACCCGTCGACCAAGCAGCGCCAAATCCACTCGGCCACGATCCCTCTGCATGCGCCAGCGACGATGGCGGTCGCGCCGGACGCACTCACCATCACATGGCAGGATACCATTGTACGGCGCTGTATCCAGGACTAGGAGCTTATGCACGATTTTTGCCTAGGTTGGATCTTCCTGCACGCAGAGCGCGTTCTCCAGCCAGTGGCTGCGCGACCACGTCTACTCGACGCCCAAGACGACGTACCCGCCCGAGTACCGTCAGGAGCGCCTCGACAACAAGGTGCTGTGGGACAAACACTTGGCGATGCCGACGTCAACCTACGGTGACATGATGGGCGACGGTTTCCGGGACGGCATGCAGCTCTTGCAGAAGCACGGGCTTCTCCTCGTACGTCATATCTATCCGATCATGCGATAGGAGTGACGATGGACGGCGTAGATCAAGAACACACCCAACTCGATGGACGACACTGAGGCTTTTGCCCGGCGCATTGGCTTTGTTCTGGAGACGGTCTACGGCACGATGTGGACGACGCGACCACAGACGGCCGAGATGAGCTACAACGACACGGCGTCGACAAACTTGGAGCTCCAAGCACACACGGACTGCACGTATCTGTACACGCCGCCGGGTCTTCAGATCTTCAACTGCGTCCAGCAGGCGGCCGGCGGCCCCACGGACGGCGCTAGCCGGTATGTGGACGGCTTCCACGTGGCCGAGTACCTCCGGCAGCATGCGCCCGAGGCGTTTGCCTTCTTTAGCAAAACGCCGCTGCCATTCTACTGCCTCGACGACGACACGTCGCTGGCGACGATGAAGACGGTCATCGACCTCGACTACCGCGGCAATATTAAAGGCTTCCGACTGAACGACGGCGACCGCGCCGCGCTGACGCACCTCTCGTTCGAAGACACGTTTGCGTTTTATCAACACCACAAGGAGCTCTGGCGTGCGATCGACCACCTCGAGCTCGTGCACAAGCTGGACGAAGGCGACATGATGGTCGTCGACAACAACCGCGTCATGCACGGCCGCCACGCGTTCGAGGGCGAGCGCGCGCTCATCGGGTGCTACATTGGCAAGACCGAGTACGACAGCCGTCTCCGCGTCCTCGGACTCCTGTAACTACGCCTTCATCATACACGCAATAGAGTGTTGTCTACTAGCAGTATTGTATCAACGTATCAATCCTTCGAGACCACGATGCTGGACAGTGCAGACGAGTCTCGTCTCCGCGGAAGACGCTCTGGCACCAGCCGCTAAAAACACTCTGCAGCTCGAACGACGTTCGAGGCGCCCGGCTACAGACTGACGAGATCGTGTTCTCTGGCTGTCCCGCCGGGCAAATTTCAAGGCGGAAAATCGGAGAGCAGCAATGGCTCGGTCGTCAAAGCTGATGAATACGCAGCCTGTGGTCGCGAGTGGTGTCCGTCCTGCAGAGACAAGTGGGCGGCAGTGGACCACCGTGTCGTGATCATTTTACGGCGTCGGGCTAGTCAGACTGTGACTCACGACGTGGCGGTTCTGGCAAAAGAACTTCGAACTTCGCTTCGACCACGCTCTCCGCGGATTGGTGGGGTCTTGCATTAAAAACATCCCTTCTATCTTGTGATTTGTATGAGCCTGATACAAACGCAATAAAAATAGACTCCGGGTTGCCACTTTTGGACTTCGAGATCCGACAACGACGCCAAGACGACGATGGTCTGCCGGCCCGTGAGCTTCGTGCAGGACCTCAACCTGCTCATGATGGACCGCCTCCTGCACCGAGAGCACTGGGTCGAACCGGACGAGCGGTACCAGTGCAATACCTGCTTCCAGTACTTCCACCTGGACCCCAAGAAGCATTGCTACATGGTACCTCTCGATCGCTTGATGCCAACGACGACGACGGGGGCTCATGGGTGTCGACTAGTGTGGCGAGATTGTTTGCGGCGATTGCCGCACGCGGCTGCTCATCGAAGGCCGGTACATGAACGACGTCGGCGTCATGGCCTTTCACCACGGGTTCACGGCCAAGGTCTGCCACCCGTGCTACTTTACGTTCTTTAGCGCGCGGGCCGTCGGCTTTTTCGAGGTCGAGAAGCACCCGAAGTACGACTCTCACCGTTTGGAGGATCGATGCGATGCTGATTATGGCGTGCTCTGGTCGCAGTCGCTCCCGACCATCCAAGAAAAAGTTGCCAAGCTCGCACCCATCGAAGCCACCAAGAAGGCCCACCTCCGACCATCCGCCTCCGAGCAGCGGCAGTTTGACGAACGCTTCACCAACAAAGTGCGCAGCATGACCCGAAATCACCGATAGTCCCGACCGCGTCCGTATATTTATAAGCTCAACGAGTCCTATGTGTCCTCACGACGACGTGGCATGCGTCCGCTGGTACTCGTCGTGGGCTAGCGTCAGCGTCGAGAAGAGCGTCTGCGCCAGAAACCGGTCCTTGACGTCAAAATCGCCCTTTGGCAGCTTGTCGGGGTGGATGGTGCGGACCGCCTTCATATAGGCCTTCTTCACGGACGCAACGGTCGCCGCGCCGTCGACCTGGTACGGGCACGCAGCACTCGACGGCTTGAGCAGCGATGGCGGCAAGACCTCGTGGAGTGATCGGAGCAGCATGACCACGTCCTTGTTGCGCGCCCAGTCGCGGACGCGGGTCGTCACGAGGTGCCGGGAGGCGTCGACTTCGGCTGCCTCCTTCTCTTGCTGCTGTTTGTTCTCTTGATACCATTGGCGGCGTTCCTAGCATACCAATCAGTTCTGAGGCGCACAAGACCGTCGATCGGACTTCGACGCGGCGCTGCGTCGCCTCTTCTTGAGCTGCCAAGCGTTCTTCAATGTCGTCCAAGACGGCCTTGTCGGGCTTGGTCCAGCGCGTGGCGCGCGTCAAGCGGTGATAGTAGTACACTTGGCCACCGTCCGTGGTCGCAGACATCCAGTTGTCGACACTGCGCACGTCACTGGTTGGGGGTTCCAAAGGCGCCTTGCTCGCAGCCGCAGGCGGGGTTGGATCCATGCGATCTAGTTTGCATGCGACCTCGTACGCGTTTTAGGAAGAAGACGACGACGTACCGAGGGAGGAGGTGCTCATGCTCTTGGGCATTGCACTCAAGTCGTCTTGGACGACGACCTTAGGCTGCGACCGTGCCATGCGCTTGAGTGGCCACTGCATGCTCTGTGGTCGCTTGCGGTTCTTGCGCGACTAGACAAACCGCGTTTAACACGCATCATTCGCGATGATCTCAACTACCTCGGCAGTCGCAGCTTCGGCCTCCTTCTCCTTGCGCTTGACTTCTTCGACGGCGGCGGCTTCGGCCTTGGCCTGCTTCTTCTGCTTTCGTCGCAAGCGATCAATGTAGAGATCCCACGACGCCGAGAAGGCCGGCGCATCGTCGTCCTCGTCTTCGTCTTCGTCGGAGCTCTCGTATACGGAAAAGACGGCGTTTGGGTTGGCTTGTGGCCCGCCAAAGAGCGTTCGCGCGTCTTCTGCGTCTGGGTCCACATGGTGGTTCATAAACTCAAACGTGTTGGGCTTCAACGGGCGCTCCAGCGTCGGGTGGGCAAACTCAGGAACGTGTTGCGAATGCGCTGCCAGTGGCGACGGCAGTGGTGCTGAAGATGACGTTGGTGGCGGCACAAAGGAGCGCGGTGTCGCCACCGTATGGACCGCGGACCGCGCCGACGCCCACACGTCGACAAGGGCGTGGTGGGACTGCTGCATGTGCGTAGCGACATGCAAAAGGCTTTCGAGCATCGCGCGGGCTTGGATCGTCTGCACCTCGTCCCACTCGAGCGACAACTTCTCGGCCGTGCTTGGTACCATATCCCGTGTCAAGTCGTGGACTTGCTTCTCAAACCGCGGCATGACCTACACAGCGCGCATGACAGTCGAGCGAGTGCACGGACAAGGTCTACTTGGGCGCTCTGGAAATGCAGCGTCTCTTGCAGCGAGACGTCGAGCATCTACACATACCATGGCTACGAGGAATAGAAGTCGTCAAGGACCTCGCACGTGTCGTCGTGCCACTGCTGCAACGGCAAGAGCGCGTGCGCTGCAAAGCCGTCCCACGCTGTCGCGCTTCCGTGAAGACGCTCAAAGTTGCTTGCGTGGGTGGCTGCATTGCCAAAGGCCGCGACGCTGCAGCTCGTATCGGCATGGACTTTGATGAGCCCGTCGAGGCGCTTGCTCGCTTTCACCAAGTGGCGCTGGAGCACCGGTAGCTTTTCTTGGATGCGTTTGATCGACTGGTCGTCCTGCTTGCGTGCGCTCGAGCCTTCGTTGGACGACGTACGACGGCGCCGTGGCAGCAACAGCGGTGGCGTACGAGGTACGTGCACAAGGTCCGAGCCGTCAAGAAACGTTTGCATCTCGGTCGAAAAGCCCATCGCGTAGTGCCACGCGAGATGGTTCATCCAGAGCTGGAGCGCGCGCTTGCGCTTCTCGACAAAGCGCGGGTTGAACTTGGAGTTGTCTCGGAGCCCGTTCTTTGACATGTCCTTGAGATGCGACGGTCGAGAGATCAAGACATACCTTGGGCGGCAACGTCGGGATGCAGGCAAACACATAAGCGCTCGAGAGGCGTTCCCACAACCAGACAAAATCCTTGTAGCGTCGCTTGACCTGCGAAAGCACGAGACCCTACATCGTCGTGTTTATACTCGCACGAAAGAAAAGCGGACGTCGTTCGTACAGTATCGCCGGTGCGCACTTGGATGACGTAGACCATGTGGGCGGCGCGGCCAGCGCCGACCTTCTCCGTGGCCGCGACGCAAATATGGTTGAGGACCACTGGCTCGTCGAGAATCGATGGCTCGGCGGTCACCGGTGGCTCGGCGACAGGCAGGCGAGTGGGCGGCGTCACGGGGAACACAGGTGGCGTTGGCGGACTCAGTGGGTGCGACGTCGCCGTTGTCGTCGGGAGGTCCTTGGCCATGAAGGAGACGTTGCGGAAGAGCGTCTGCGACTGCGGCACCTGCACCTCGGCGACGCGGCGAAGACACGGTTTGATGATGTCCATGGCCTCCTTGGGCGTCAGCGTCGAAGTCGTTTGGCGCCGAAACTCTTGCTTGAGGTCCTTGTACACAGTGGTCATGAGCTCCTTCGTTGTCTTCTCCTGGTCGAGCATGAGCTGTTCGACTTGCTTCGTGAGCACTGCGATCTGCCCATGGAGGTCTGCGATCTCCTCCAGCGCTTCCGCGCGGCCTTCCACGCGGCCCAGCGCGCGGGCTTGCCCGACCGAGTCCATCGCCGTCTTGCCGCCGAGAAAGATCCTCGAGACTTGCTGCGAACTTCGAACACCCAACTCTTGGTATTCATTTTCAGAGGATTATTGTATCAACTTTCCGAGACCGACTAAAGTCGGCTCATTTCGACTAAACGACTAAACTGCGCAAACAGCGAGGCCACTCGTCACGGAAGATTCGACGGCGACGTGATCCATCTCACTGCTATTAGAGACTTGATAGCACCCGCTGAGGCTGAGGAAGCCTATGATAGGCTTTATCACCCCTTGCGTGCCTGGTGAGATTCACGGGGCTTGGTCCACGACGGCGAGCCACTCAGACAGCTCGGTGGACCGATACCATTCTCGATAAGATCCGACCGCAGCCGCAGCGCACACCTCGCTGAGAACGATGCATCGAGCGGTAGAGGGTCCCAAGCTGTTGGCAATTCTTCTCGGAGAGGTCGAGATGCTTCCTACAAGAGGTTATCAACGTAGAGCTGTCAGGACCTTAACGACATCAAATCAGGTCCTCCTACAGCCTATATCACCAGGTACCGTGCACCGCGCTACAAGATCGCCAGGATCCCGCACGTATCTTTTTCCGGACGTTGACATTATCCGGACGCGAACGATCTTGTCGTCCAAGGCAGCTGGACGCGGATGCCAATTCGTTGAAGCCTCCCATCGGAGATTATGTGCCAGCGGCAACTTCAAGGTTGAAGTGTGGTGGCAACGCCCCTTCGATCGTCGTCTTCAACCAAGTCGAACGACGCAAGGTAAACAATCGACTTGCGCTTAACTTACTCCTACGACCAACAATCCTAGCTCACGCTGCATTGGCACGCGGCTTGCTTTAGCCGCCGAATCTGCCGCAGCGGGTCCCCGCTTTTCGCGTGACGCGTCGACGTCATGTGGCGCTGGATCGTCTCCTTCCGCGAGAGTAGATAGTGCACCACGTCAAAGTGGTTGTTCTGCGCCGCCCACTTGAGCGCGTTCGCCGTGTACCCTTCCTTCCGGTGCGAATGGAGGAACCGAACGATCTCGAGATGTCCGTGCTGCGCCGCCCAGTTGATCGCGTTCACGGTGCAGCCCTCGTAGCGATGACTGTGCAGGAACTCGAGGATGCACAAGTGGCCTTCGAGCGCCGCGCGGTCCATGCCGTACTTGGTGCAGCCCTCGCGCCGGTTAAAGTGGAGGTACCGCACAACCTCGAGGTGGCCGTGGACCGCCGCTTCGTCCATCGCCTTGGTGGTCGCACCTTCATGGCGGTGCCGGTCGAGAAACTCGACGACCGCAAGGTGGCCGTGCTTGGCCGCGTTGTCTAAAGCGTCGGTCGTCGCACCTTCACGGCGGTGTTGGTGCAGATACTGAACGACGTGCAGATGCCCGGCGCTCGACGCCCAATCCATGGCGTCCTTGGAGCACGGAGCGCCGTGGAGATGGAGAAAATGAACCATGTCGAGGTCGCCGTACCGACACAGAAGGTCCATGACGCCGGCGCTAAACATATGCGGCCGCATCACAAAGAGTTGCTGGAAGAGCGACGCTTCGTAGACGTCGTGGAGGTTGAAGGCGTGGACTAAGAACCGGGCTTGCAGGTACGGCACGCGCGCCGCCCACGCGCGGCAAACGGGCGCAAATGGCATGACAATGCCGCGCTGGAACTGCACGATCGCGCGAAAGAGCTCGGGCATCTGCAGCACCTGGTGCGCGCGGGACGGGTCGACCATGGCGACGACCGCGTGCTCGGTCGCGTCGTAAAAGTTGTGGTCGTCGTCCATTGAAGATCTGAGGCCGAAATGCAAAAATGGACTCGCGTTTCTTCAAGTGGCGCACCCTGCGGACGTGCCACTGTGGCCGGTGGTAGCCACAGCGTTCGAAACGTGTTTTAAACACGTCACCAGTCACGCCCTTGATGGGACGGCGCGTCGAGGTCGGACAACTTGACGCATGGATGGTGGGAGCGTGGCATGGTGCGATGGGTAGTTGCTGCGTACTAGCCGATGCCTCGAGCCCTCTGGATGGTGATTATGAGGAGGTACAAAGCGTTGGAACAAGCATCGTCCACGGAGGAGGAACCACGGACTTCAACCTCAACCTACGGTACGTGAAATGGCTGAGCCCGTTGTGCCGACAAGGGACGCCATATAAGATCCCATTTCTTGCTACTCACGCTCATCTACCATCCTTGGACCTATGGGAGTGAGCTATGGGAGTGTCCGACGCCGAACACTTGCGCCTCGAACTCTCCGCCCAGCGGCAAAGCGTTCTGCTAACAAGTAGCGCAAAGCTACCTTGGACTTTCACATTGCGATCGATGCAGTCGATTTCCAGCACGACGGCACAATCGACGCCAGGTGTTTTTAAAGGTTTTAAACACCTGAGGTCTAGGGTTCTATATTGTGTTTCGAACATCCGGCCTGCGTGGCCAACGTTGTTTGCTACTACGACGCGCTATCGTGTTGATGCAGCACATATTGTCGACGCCGACACGCTGAGAGATGCCTCTGCTTGCTGCATCAACACGGCAAGCAACCTCGTCGATGACGTCGGCGGTTGCGCATGAAACTCATTCGCTGTATAATTTAAACCAATCAGCACGCGCGCGGATCGAATTCTTGTGGGTGTGTTGTGGGTTCGCCGGATAAAGATATAACCTCGTAACCGGATCATGACCCACTCACATTCGATTTTGGTCCAAAGATGAACATCATCGTCGTTGGCGGCGGGGTCGTCGGTCTCGCGACAGCCTTGGCGCTGCTCGAGGCCGGGCACAAGCGCGTGACGATCGTCGCCGAGAGCTTTGACGACACGACGTCGCATGTCGCCGGCGCAATCTGGCGCCCGTTTGCTCTCTCGGAGAACTCGTCGACAGCGGCGATCGAGTACGTACAGTCGACGGCGGCAGCAACGTCATGACCTCTCTAGTCGCTGGGGCCATGCCACAATGCAGTGGCTCGCCAAGCTCTTGCGCGAACATGGGACCGATGTCGTGGGTATCCATCGCGTGATGGGTCGCGAGTACCATGATACGCCCACCGTGTGGCGCCGCTTTCGACGTCGCCTTGGCCATTAACCACTCTCGTAGGTGAGCCATCCGTACTGGGCGCACTCTGTCGACGACTTTCGATTCCTCTCGCCGGCCGAAGCCAACGCGAACGGCGCGCCGTACGGGTTTGCGTACTCGACGATTCTCGTGCATCCTGGGTGCGCCTTCTCCGTCAGTATATGCTTATATTCTTATCCCATGCTGTAGAAAGCTGCTGCCGTGGATGCGCAGCCTCATCGCGCGTCTCGGCGGGCGCTTTGAGACGCGCCGTGTCGAGAGCTTGGACGAGCTCCAGTGCGATGTCGTCGTCAACTGCACAGGTACGACATACCTCTCGAAGCCGGAGTGACATAAGCGTGTTGCAGGTATGGGGGCCAAGCAGCTTGCGCCGGATGCCAGCGCCTTTCCCGTCCGCGGCCAAACCATCAAGGTACGCACTATACTCACTGGATGGTGGACGAAGGTTGACCTTTAGATCTTCAACCCCGCGATCAAGGAGTTCCAGATGCACGAAGTCAACCATGTGTACACGTACATCTTGCCGCGCCCGGGTGGCGAAGTCGTCTTGGGTGGCACGGTGCAAGCGCACAACTACTCGACGGACTGCGACGAAAGCGACATTGCAGCCATTCGTGCGCGCTGCGAGCGCATTTGCCCACTCGTGGCCGGCTCCAAAGTGCTCGGGACCAAGGCGGGCTTGCGTCCGCAGACCGCCAGCGGGGTCGTTCTCCGCGCTGCGCCCCGTCGCAATCGCTACGGTGCGCTCGTGATCCACAACTACGGTCACGGAGGAAGCGGCCACACATTGCACCGGGGCTGCGCGCTCGACGTCTTGCAGTGGGTCCCTCCCGCCAACGCCAAGCTCTAAATTCTGCTGGAACCGCGATTGAGTTAGCCAACTTGATGCACCGCGAATTAAACAATCTCTACCATGCGGATTTGCCGTCAAATATCGGGTAATTCCACAAACTCATGATTCGAGCCTCGCGAGGACAATGGCAAACATGCAGAATAGCCCTCATGCACCCGGAGTCTGATACTTCGACTGAAGAGTTTACTAGTAGTATTCTAAGGGCAGTATGTACACGAGATAACCCCGCGGGCCCGGCTGGACAGCGCGCCCCGGAGCCGGTCGGGCTCGGAGGCGCCCGTCCAGGAAGCCCAGCACGTTGCTTGGTTCGATTTCTAGAAAAATGACACGATATTGAACGCAGGCGTAAAAGCTGGAGGACAGCTTACCATCACTAGATCCGTTGACGCCGGCTTCATAAGGCACGCGGCGTGCGCTGTGACGAGGCCCGAGCAGTAGTTGTACAGGGCGCCGCCTCTCGGGCCTGCTTTGCTTGGTTCGATTTCTAGAAAAATGACACGATATTGAACGCAGGCGTAAAAGCTGGAGGACAGCTTACCATCACTAGATTCGTCGAGGTGCAGGTCCATGTCGAGATAGTCCCACTCATTCTCACGCAGCGCAAACCCGAAGTCGAACAGCAGTTGGTCTAGTGCAAGCTATGAAATGTGTCGAAATTGTCATCGAAGGTACAGTGGGGGTGTCGATCGTAGCTGTTGAATTGGTCGCCGCGCTTGTAACCGATGGACGAGTGCCTCTCGAACGTCTTGTTCCAGTACGCGTAGAAGTTGGCGTGGTTGGCGCGGTTGAGCATGTCGGCCAAGGGCACAAGCGCCGTCCATGGCAGGCGCCGGCCTACACTATCGCATTTGGAATGGCTGCCTGAGGAATGTCAAATACCAAACGTGCGAGCTTGGATAGTCTGCCACGCAAAACGAAAGGTTTCGAATGAAAAACTTGTCGCGTTAAAGAGCTCCTACAGAAAAGTTGTTAGACAGAGGATCGAAAATGGAGGACGATTTACCCGGTAGAGGCGGAAGAGGCGGTCAGTGAGGCGTTCGTACCACGTGACGATCTCGGCGTTGCGCTGGCCGGCTATCTTCACGAGGCTCCTAGTGACGATGAACAATAAGATATCATTTCTACAATAAGAATTTTAGCAGAATACGGGTCTTGCAAGGACGCGAGCTCGTCGATGGTCAAGTTTTGAATCGACTCTGGCGCAGGCAGCGTCGAGAGGTACCGGTAGTAGAACGAGTGATGGCCCAGGTGCATGTGGTGCGCCACAAACGCTGCCAAGAGCGGATCGTCGCGGACAAAGAGGTCGGAATGTCGAGCAAAGATCTGGTCGAGCTTCACGGATGCCTCAACCGTCAGTGGCGCTTTCTCGGACACGCGGCGGAGAGCGAAGGACTGCTGTCATGTATTGACTTTACCGAAATGACATGGCGCGGAGCTCAACAACTTGTGTGTATGGCGGTCAACTACTGAGAGTGGGCGAGGAGGCGGGCGACACGCAGCGCGTCGACGGATGGGTCGTGTCGTAGCGCCTCGTACGCCTTGGCAAAATGAGTCTTAGCGATCTCGGGCTTGTGCTGCGCGAGGAGGTTTTCACCGAGCTCTTCGTGCGTGTACCCACCTTGAGGCGAGAGGGACATCAAGAGTTGAAGCGCGTCGTCGTAGCGCTCCAGCGCCCGATACACGCGCGCGATGGACCACTTGGCGATGAGAATTGGCTCGGGGGTCCCAATGCGCTCACGAGCAAGAAGCGCCGTCTCAAAGGTCGCGAGCGCCTTTGCATAATCACGTTCATCAAAGTAGGTCCACCCGAGGTTGTTGGCGAGGGACGCGTCCCAGTTCTGCGCGTTGACGTCATCCGAGCGCTGGGCCAAGGCAATACCACGCTCTGTCCACGCAATGGCCTCTGTCGGAGGTACGACGAGCGCCACCATGTGAATTGCGTCGATTGCGAGCTCGTCCATGTGGGAAGCCTCGGCGACGGCAACCGCTTGCTTGAAGAGCGGACAGGCTGCTTCCGGCTGCTTGGCGGAGCGCATGGCACGGCCACGCTCCAAGAGGTAGCGCGTCTGAAGCTCAGCCACGTCGTTTGTTGGGTCAACGAGCTTTACAAGCTCGGTTTCGATTGTATCGAGGAGAGCATGGGCTGCTTCGAAGTGGCCACGGAGACCGTGCACACGGGCGAGCTGGGTCTCGAACAGTTTTGTTTCGATGGGCGACGCAGATGCTGCTATGAGCTGCTTGAAGACGGCTTCGGTTGCGTCGAGGTTGCCAAAGTCCCAGTGGGCTCGCATGTTGTGCGTCGTGACCATGGTCGAGCAAATTCTAAACTGACGGAAACGGTGGCACTCGCTGGGCACGCATCAATTGGCGCCAAGGGCCATGTGGCGCGTTTCGCGCCCGGCACATTACGAGGCAATGTACTGATCGCGTAGAGCTGCGTAGCGCGGTATCACAAGGCATTGCGGCCGCGATCGAACAGTGCCGAACCGCTCGCCAGCTGCAAGCGACCTTTCGTATCGAAAAGGGCAACATTAAGAACCTATATCAAATGATTTTGCACTTTCAAGTACCTCTCATTTTCGATGCGCACGTTGGCACATGTTCGCGTCCCGATCGGGCAAGCGCGCACGCTGCTGGGTCTGCTCTCGACGGCGGAGAAGTCGACCAAGAGCATTGCCGTCTACTTCCATGGTTTCCCAGACCTCTCGGTGCACCCGAATGAGGACGCTCCGCCCGCGTACGCTAGCCGCTTCCCGCGCAAGCTCGAGGAAGCGCTCGCAATGGATCTTCTTTGCGTCAACTTCTCGGGCCTTCCGGGCTCCGACGGCGATGCGAGCTATCGCAGCAAGACGCTCAGTCGCGAGCTCGAAGATGCGCGCGGTATTGTAGCCTACTGCGCGACCAAACTTCAGAAGGCCCACGTGCATGTCATTGGGCTCTCGACCGGTGCCATTCTCGCGGCTTGTCTCCGCGACTTGGATCATCCGCAGCTACGGTCCATCTCGGTGGTGGCAGGTATCGTAGACGCCTCTGCCGGCTCGAAGCTTGACTTTTCGCACGACCAATTAACAGCCATGCGCGTCGATGGGCAGTGCGAGACGGCGTTCTACTGGCCGGCGCAATGGCCGCTGGCCAACGACTGCCGTGCGGATGCGTCGTTTGATGCGACTGGCAAGGTCTGGCGACCCCTTGCGAGAAGCTACGTCGACGACATGGAGCAGCTGGACATCGCCGGGCACGTCACACGCGGCACGGTGCCGCTTCTCGTTGTCCACGGCACCAGCGACAAGAATGTTCCGCTGGAGCACGGCGTCGCTCTCTTTGCAACAGCCAGTGAGCCCAAGCAGTGGCTGGAGGTCAAGGGCGCAAACCACCTATTGTCCAACGCGAAGCACATCAAAAAGACTATTCAGGCCATCAGTGCCCACGCCGCCCGCTCGGAAGTCGTGTAATCCTGATGCGAGAGATGTTGCTCGATTTACCATTCATTCGACTCGAAAGAGGATAGCACGCGTATCCTGAAGGCCGTTTGTGGGGTGAGCTGGTAGGAACTTTTGTATTGGCCGCGATGTGACTGCAGCGTCCAAGAACCGAGCATCAGTGAAAAGTCATTCGCACATCCGCCATTAACTCAGTCCGTAGAGCACGAGGGAATACATGTATTAGAAGTACATGCACATATAACTTGGCTGATGCACAACGTTCTTGCGCATCTGAGCGCATTATCCATACAGGGCAGTGGTGTTTCGTACGGGACCAACGACCCAGGCCTGCCAACGACCCGTCAGGTCAACGCTCGGTCCTCACACTTGGTCACGGTTCTGCATTGAAGTCCATTGAAGGTCCGGTGTGGTATTTAACTACATGATTATTCGAAGTCTCAAGCAGCCACGATAATCCACTGTTGATTGATGGCGCTCGTGGACGCCGCGGAGATCACTGCCCCCGCTGCAATGGCCCCCGTGCTGGAAGTACAGGTGGTGCACGCCGTCATGACACGGCCGTCGTTGCCTTGGAGCACCCACCGGTCGTTACTCGCCTTGATGCACGACCACAAGACGGCAGCGTCGGAAGTTATTGTGGCCCGCTGCGTGATGGCATCCGTGTGCCCCGCCGGGCATGTGGCACCGCTGCATTGACCAAGGAAATCGGCCGCGTACCCGAGGGCCATCTTCGGACCGACCTTGTGCACGTACCATCTCGCTTGGTACGGATTGAGGTCCGCGGTGATCAAGGTGGGGTCCCAAAAATACTCACTACCGATGTAGTTGACGCTGTCGCTAGTAAGGGACACACTGGACCCATCCGTAAAGGGACAATCGACCGTCGGCTCGGGCGTGACGGTCGTTGGCTCGGGCGTGACCGTCGTTGGCTTGGGCGTGGCAGTTGTGGATGTAGGAGAAGGAGTGACTGAGGGGGTATCCGCACCGCACCCTGGGTGCTCAGTGGAGAAGCTAGCGACGACAAGGCTGGCGAGGCACAGGAGAGTCGCCTTCATGAAAGGTGTTGGCAAATGTCAAAGTGATGCGGAGCAGAGCGAAGCTTCGCGGTAGAGGTGCTTTGCGTGCAGTAGCTCGCTTCACTGTATCAACACCTGCCATTTCGTGCATAGAGCTGCAGCGAAACTCTTGGGACAAGCGGAGGAAGTGTTGTGAGCAACCACTGGCACCATCGGAGTGGGTTGCCGTATATAGAACAATGGCGCAAACCGCATGGGATTGTGCTGAGAAAAGGCGAAAGCGAACCAATCTCGTATTGAGCTGCCGGTGGCAGCCTCGCCGCAGTGCCAACGATAGAGAGAATAGATACTAGTAGCGCAAACGTGTGCTTATATTATGGAGTGGACAATGGCTAGGGTTCGGGCAGAAGCGGCGCGGACGCCGAGGCAAATTTGTGTTGCGTCTTGTTGTTGATCGCGACGAGGATGAGCATGAGGGGGACTTCGATGAGCACGCCGACCACAGTCGCCAGCGCAGCGGGGGATCCGGACCCGTAGAGCGACACGGCGACGGCGACGGCCATTTCGAAAAAGTTGGAGCATGCGATCAAGGTCGCGGGGCCCGCAACATCGTACGACAGGCCGAGGTAGAGCGCACCGGTGTACGTAATGCCCCAGATGAGGAACGTCTGGAGGATCAGCGGCATCGCAATCACGAGGATGTCGACGACGTTGTCCGTGATGGTGGCAGCTTGCGAGATGAAAATGAGTACGATCATGAGCACCAAAAACACCATCGAGAACGAGTCCAAGACAGGGAGGAGCTTCGAGTTGAGCCAGTCGAGACCCGCTTCCGAGTGCCCTAGTCCCTTCCGGATGCCGTAGCCAGCAAGCAGCGGAATGACGACAAAGATACCGACGGACACGAAGAGCGTCGACCACGGCATCTCGAGGGACGTGCCGCCGGCAAGCAGCTTGGCCGTCGGGACGTACACCACCATGAGGATGATATTGTTGACTGCAACTTGCGTTAGCGTGTACGCCGCGTTGCCCTTCATCAAAATCGACCACACAAAGACCATGGCGGTGCACGGTGCACCACCGAGGAGGATCGAACCCACGACGTAGCCGTCCGCCTTTTCTTCGCCGAGGTAGCCGCCAAAGAACGTCCGGAAGAAGAGGACCGCAATGCCGTACATAGTGAACGGCTGGATGACGTAGTTGACAGTGCATGTGAGCAGGATCGCCTTGGGCTGCTTGAGGCAGTCGACGATGCTGGCAAACTCGATCTTGATCATCATCGGGAGGATGATGCCCCAGAGGAGGACGGCGATCGGCACCGAGACATCGCTGATCGTGGCCTTGTCGAGACCTTCCGGAATGGACGGCACGTAGTAGCCGATGAGGACACCGACGACCATCGCGAGGAAGACCCAGAGCGTGAGGTACCGCTCAAAGAGACTCATCTTGGAGACATCGACGCTCGGCTCGCTGCCCGACGCGTCGGTCGCGAGGTTGTACGACATCTGCACATCGCTTTGTTTCGTGGGCGTCAGCGGTTGTGCTGAAATGCTCATTGCGATGAAGCGCCAAGTTTGGAAATGACGCTTCTTCGCAAAGTTGGCGCGAGATTGGCGCCCATTTTCTGGCAGCCGAGCCAACCGTTGACGAAGGTTCGGCGTCGTCTTAATCGAACTATTTTGTATTTGTGATGGTCGAATTTGTTGTTTGTATGTACATTTGTCTCTATGATTAAAAAACGTCGAACCTTTCGACAATCGGAATAAAAATTCGACCGGCCGTCGTCGGAAGTTTGACTCGCTTTTGGTATGCGTTTACATTGAACAAGTCAGCAGATCCTTCGCCAGCTGACCACGTCACTCTTCACGCACGCTGGACGAAGGTTTCGACCGAATCTTGTGCTTTCCTTCGGACCTTCATGACCAGGAGCGCAGTGCAGCCGACTAGAAGAACTGGTAGCGCTGTGTCGGGGCTCGAGAGCCATCAGTGACGTCGCCTTTTTGAGCCTGCGAATCCGCCAACACAGTGGCACGGTGCCATGTGGTACCGTAATGATGGGACGGGAACGCTAGATAATAGAGTGTTTTGTATGTGTATACTGTGCACAAGACGATCTTTCCGGCGACGGGAATCTGAATTTTTATTCGATAGTTGAAAGGTTTGATTTAGAACTTGTATGTGGTGGAATAAATTGTTGAAGGCGACAACTCCACGCACGGATGCCCTTGAAGCGGACACACATGTTCGTCGCCCCATCATGCGACCTTCAACAAACGTCGTGAGTCATACATGTTGGCCGAGCACGGTGGCTCATTAATTTCATTTCCCATTTTCCGCGCAGTAACACAATGCCGGCGACCCTGTACCAAAACCCGCTCTGCAACAAGTGCTGCACGGCCAAGGCGATGCTGCTCAAGTACAACGAAGGGCGTCCGGACGAGGCCAAGCTCGACTACCAAGTGTTCGAGTATCTCCACGTCTCGTGGACGCGCGAGATGCTCGAGGACATCCTGGCCAAGATTGTGCCGGGCGAGAAGAACCCGAGCCCGCTTGTCATGATGCGCAAGATCGAATCCGAGTTCACCGACTTGGGTCTTGACAAGCTCGACCCGGTCGCCGACCGCCTTCGCCTCTTGGATGCGATGATTGCGCACCCGATTTTGATCGAGCGTCCGATTTTCATTGTCGATGACAAGGCGGTCGTCGCCCGCCCGGCCGACCGCATCTTTGAGTTGCTCCAGTGATTTCTTTGTCATTGCATCGTACAACATGCCCCAGTTTTGCGTTTCTCGTTGTTTGTACGGAGCCGATGAGAAGGCTCACTTTCGATTCCATCGCGGTCAATAGTGCACAGCACCAGTTGCGATCGTCTATCGTGTTCGCTGGTGCCACGGCTTGGCGTCCACACATCGCAATTCCACGCTGAACCTGAGAGGTTGCTGTCATTGCAGACGCTATTGCGTCACGCTTTGTCGTGACCAAGCACCTTCCACCCGTATATCGTATGTCGACTGCACTCTGTTCTTATTTTTCGCTATCAACACCATGGTCAACTCCCTTGCCATCTTTGCCGCACTCATTGCCAGCAGCAGTGCCGCCGCCATGGTTGCCATCCATTCGCCAGCGATAGGCGACGTAGCGAAGTGGACACCGAAGCGAGCCACAAGCAACCTCAACAGCTCCGCGAAAGCGGACAGAAGGAGTGTTTTGGGTCGTTCTGTGGTGATGGCATTGGTTTTGGCTGGGGTCTCGGTGGCGGGTGCGGCCTCTTCTCGCCGTGCCGGTGGTTCTAGACACCCCCACTTGCTCGTCTTGGGGCCGTGACGAGTACAATAGCAGTCAACATGGTGCCTAGTCAACACGTGCTTGTCGCTCTAATATACCGCTGCTGGTCACCACCACATTTCATCGTTGAATCGTTATGACAGTTGTACTCTAGCATGCAGTGGACCGTCTAAGCTTCAACTCGGTGCAAATTCTCGGCTACGCTGCGTGGCTTGTCGTTCTTCGAACTGCCTTGCCGTGGTCGCGAGCTAACGAAACCTACGCAGGCAGAGCAGCATGAGGACGATGCAAGCTATATTCGCGCAGCTATTCATCTACAGAACCGGTGCAATGGACGGCGGAGTCACTGGCAGCGGCTCGAGGAGCGCAAACAAGCGGTGCGTCATTTCGACTCCGAGAAAAAGCGATCCGTCTGCGGGAAACGAGCGCAAGACCGCAGCGTTCCAGCCACGATAAAAACCTCTCGGGCCATGCTGCTTCCAGATAGACGTCGCGGCCTCGCGAAATGAAATGTGACCGATTTGCATGTGCGACTTGATGACATCGGCCGGAAACACAAAGCTCCAGCCCGTGGAGCCGGCGGCACCACCCGCGAGCATGACGGCGAGCGGGTGCAGATCGTGGCGGGAGTCGACTTGTTGCCACTTCATGAGTTGGGCTGTGTAGCCTTGGTACGCGCCAAAGAAGAAAAATGCAAACGGCACGTCCCGCAGCACGACGGCCGGGAGTCCAGCAGTGAAGCCAAGGACGCCGTACTGTTGAAATACTTGTTGAATGCAGCGCACGACCCCCAGTGACGTAGGGCCATGGTGTGTTTGAAGCCGGCACTTGATAACCTCCGTGGGTGTGATGGCCATAGCCGCAAAGAGGCCCGCGCCGCCGCCAAGGAGCGCCTCGTGTAACGTCGAGATGTCTTCTTGGTTGCCAAAGAAGCATCGGTGGAGTGCGCCATGGGCCGTGAAAAGCACACTGTTCTCAGCAATTGCGCTCGACATGGCCGGGATTGCGCCCTTCCAGAGCGCACGCACGCCTTCGGCTCGGGCCGTCTTGGTCACGACGTCGACAAGCCCATTGTAGAGTGGCGTCGGGCCTTGCGTCTGGAGGCGGATCTTGGCAACATCGAAGGGCAGGCCTGCGTAGACGTTGCAGATGGCGCCGACTGTGCCAGCGGTCGTCTCGCGCAGGTCCATGGCAAAGGCAAAGGCAAAGTGAGCGACATCCGCTCGTGCGCTGGAAAGACAGCGCGACCGTTTCCACCCCGATCTGCATACAAACACCAAGTCTGTTTCCCGTGGAACCACGTTTTACACCTGTGTCATTCTCTTTTCACACCATCTTCATAGTCAAGAGGCATATAAAACGTGTGATTTTACAATGGCCCATGTGCGAAATGCAGTGGCGCTCGGCATCAACCGGCAGCTCGAAGCTTGCCACGCGCAGTCGCAAGCGTCATTGATCTGGACCCGGCACGGCTTTTTCCATTACTATAAGCTCCACGAGGTGTGGCGAATGACCTCTCTCAGAGCTTACTCTCGGTGGGCCTGGCACGGGTACGACGACCCAGGATGCTCCTTCGACAACATTGCGCGCTTGAGGCAACGAAACTGCAATTCGAACCATCAGAGCGTCCGGTGCAACTGAAGCTAGATTACTCTTGGTTACGAGGTGCCAGGAAGCAGCGGCGTCGAGCTGCCTGACGGAGCGCACGAACTTAAACCGACCGCGTTTGGTGCTTTCGGCGGATCTTCTCCATCCAGTTGAGTTGCGTCACCGAAATCTAGTGAAGGTCACATGTGTGAGGAATCTGACTTTGAAAAAGTACGAGGTTCTACCTTGCCGCTGCATGCGTGCGCAAAGATGGTCGGGATCTCATGGCCACGGCTTTCGCCTGCGTCTTCGTTGTCGTCCGCATCAGACGACGACGAGAAGAAGGATGTTGTCATCGCCGAGTCTTTCGCGCCAGAGAGGTTGATCTTGCCGGACGACGCCGACGTGGACGCTGGCGCCGCCTGCGCCGCGAGCGTTCCGGTGGCAATCGCATAGTCGTCTTCGAGTTGGTCGAGATCAAACGCGGCAAATTTGCAGCCGTCGGTCGCGATCTCTTCCGCGTGCAACTCGAGCTGCGCTTCCATGCTGGGCTCAATCGAGAGCTGGATTTGGCCGCCGCACGAGAGGTTGCTCGCATGCTCGCCGTCGGTGACGTGATGGAGGCTGTCGTAGTGCACGTCAATATCGCAGTTGTCGCCAACGTCTTCGATCGCCAGCGACCCATTCACGCTTGCCACTTGGATGAGCGTCGCGTCTATTGCATGCCCTCATTAGCCATCGTGCTGCAGAGCGTCGAGCATACCTTGGCTCTTGATATCGAGGGCGCCGTGGATGTTGCCAATGCGTAGCGCACCGGTTGCTACGCTGTTGACGACGGCCTGCGCCACGTACATGGCGCCAAACGACGAGTCGAGCGCGACGGGCGACTTGGTGATTTTGACGTCGGCAAACTTGGCCATGATCTTCTTGCACTCGATCTGCTTGGCCGAGAGCGAGATTGCGTCGCCTTCCAAGAGGTTGTGCACGCGGATAGTGCCGTCGTTCGTCGACAAGTGGAGCTTCATGCCACGGACCTTGTGGACATCAATGTTGCCGGCGCCGGTCGAGACACGGACATCGCCTTCAATCTTGTCGTGGAAGTGGACGTCGCCAGAAACAAGCGAGAGCTGCAGGCCAAGCATCATTGGCACGGCCAAGTCCACGTGCACGGGCGCGCCAGCGAGCGCCGTCAAGTCGTCCTCGGCGATCTGAAGCAAGCTGGCCGACGCTTCCTCGACACGGAAGGCGTCCGGCGACGCGGTGCCATGCACGCTCACTTCAATGTGCTCCATGAGCGAAGGCCGCACATGCACCTCGACCTTGGTCGCGCCCGACGTCTTGAACTGCACCTCCTTGAGGCTGGCCGACCGCTCGATCTTGAATTGCTGCGCTGGCGCGGCCGCCGAAGAGAACGCAGCAATATGGGCGTGCCGAGAGACAGTCATCGACCGGCGCATAAGATGGTGACCACGCGCCACAGCGGCAGGTGCCACTGCGCGGAGAGCGTGCTTTGCGATGGCGCGGCGAAGGTGTTGGATCGCTCGCATTCGTTCTTGTTGGTTCCGACAGCTTTGGCCAATCCAAAGGGCAAACCGGTTAAATGAAACCGGTTC